GTGCCATCCCGGTGGGTCTGATCAGAGGCGGCTGAAGCAAGACCATCTACACTTTCATTATAGACACTTTCCTCACTAAAATCCTCTGAGACTTGCGGTGGGCCTGGCGCTGGGCATCTGGGATGGTGAGAGGAAAGCAATGCAGCCTCAGATCTCCACCACTTTAAAACTTATGAAATATTTTTAAACTTTCAGAATAATATAGAAAATAATAAAACTCCCGTGTTCTCACCACCCAGCTCTGTCGGATACTCACGCTGTGTCCTACTTATTTTATGTTCTTCTTTTTTGCTTTGAGGTTTTTTTTGTTTTGTTTTGTTTTGTTTTTCTCCGGTACCAGGAACCGAACTCACGACCTTGCACTTGCCAGGCAGGCGCTTTTGCCGCTGAGCTAAATCCCCAGCCCCTTATGTTCTTCTTTTTAAGAAATAAACTGTGGTAAGGCTAGGTGTGGTGGTGCACCCGTATAATCCCAGCACTCAAGAGGCTCAGGCAGGAGGATTGCTGTGAGTTCAAGGCCAGGCTGGGCTACGTAGTGAGTTCAAGGCCAGCCTGCGCTGCAAAGCGAGACTCTGTCTCAAAATAAATAATCAAACAAACAAACAAACATATAGTAGTAGAGACCATGGAAACCTCTGTGGAAAACTCTTCCCCTCTTCAGAGATAATTGCCATCCTGAATTTTGTTTTGTTTTGTTTCCAGTACTGGGAATCGAACTCATGACCTCTCGCTTGCCAGGCAGGCGCTGTGCTGCTGAGCTAAATCCCCAGCCCCCTGAATTTTGGTTTTAACAGTTTCCCATTTTTATTTTTTTGCTGAGCATGTGGAAATCTAAAAAATGAATAACTCATTCTTACTTTATAAACAAAGCGAGCCATATAGCATGTGCCGTTCTGTGGCTGGCTTTTTCCTACTTGAAGTCAGGTTTCTGAGATTTGACCTTCTTGATCTCGAAGCGCTGGCCCCCTTGGCCTGATAGGAGCCACACCATCCTGTGTAAAGACTCCCGGTTATTTACCCTTCTTGTTGGACATTGAGGTGGTTCCCCTGTCTTACTATTCAAATACTAAGTATTCCTGTAGTAGTGGAATCACCAGGTCATAGGATATACACTCATTCTTTTAAAGTTATTTAGTTATACTGTAAGATCAGAGCTGCCCAATGAAAGAAATGATGGCAATATACAACATCAGAGAAACCGCACTCGTTAACATTTTCTGAGCACTTCCTGTGTTGTTCTTTACATGGTCTCAGGCAGTCTTTGCAACCACTTGGGGAGGTCAGTGCTGTCACGTCCATTTCATTGATGAGGGAACTGAGGCTTACGGAGGCTAAAGAACTTTCTCAGGTTTTTCCAGCACATAATTTCAGCTTGTGTCCAGGGTTGTCTGCTTTGAGAACTCTAGAAGGCCACGCTGTGTTGTCATGCAATAGGACACTCAGTCTGTGTGCAGCAAAGGAGGACTCTTCGGAAGGACAGTCTCTCAGTCTTTTTTGTTGTCAGAGTTTTTTTGGTTTGTTTTTGAGACAGGGTCTTGCTGTATACATCAGCCTGGCCTTGAACTCCCTGTGGAGCCCAGGCTAGCCTCCAACTCACAGAAATCCTCCTGCCTCAGCCTCCCGAGTACTGGGATGACAGGTGTGTGCCACCACACCCAGTTGGGACTGGGTCCCGCAGCTACCTCCCTCCCCGCTCCACTAAGAGACACTAAGGTGGGAGCCCAGGGGAGGGTGGGGTGGCTCCAGGCTGCCTGAGCCCCATCCACCCTCGGCCCTCCACTCCCTTGGGTGGGACCTGAGTGAGTCCTCAGCCCTGCCCGTTCTCCTTCTGGCTCAGCACCACCTCCCAGCCAGTACTCTCACCCCACCCTGAGGCATAGTGAAAAGGGAACCAGGACACAGAACACATGTCACTCGGGCCCAGCCAGGCATCCAGCAGCAGAAAGGCCATACACACGGGTGGCCTGTAGAATTGGCCTCTGGCAGCCCTGGCAGGAGAAAGGCTGGCCCTGTGGCCGAGCAGAAAGCATGTCTTCTCCCAAGCTGCTGGGAGAAGTGGACTCCTTGCACTTCTCTGCCTGTACTCTCTTATCTGTCAGCTTGGATAAGAGCTCCCACTGGTAGAAGGATTGGGTGAGATAATGCTGTCACCCAATTTAGATAAAGCACCAGTGATAGCCTCTTGGTACCCAGGGGTGGTTGTGTATGCTGTTATTAAGTCAAGTGAGACCAGTGTCCCCAGCCTCCCCAGCCCCCAGCCAGCCCCCCACCTCTGCGCTTAGCCAGCCTGTGTCCTCCAGCCCTTCAGACTGCTTGTGCCTCTGGCCCTCTGACACCCTGTGCCCTCCTTGAACGTCTTTTCCCACCTTGTCTGCAGGTCAGTGCCATCTTTCTCAGAGGCTTCTTTGATGCCCCAGGCTGGGGTGGGGGCCAAGGTGCTTCCGTCATAGCCCTAATCCCTGTCGCTGTCACCACCTCAGCCTGCATCATCTGTAGCTCCTCAAGCACAAGCCCAGGTCTGGCCTTTTTTTGGGCAGGGGGATAAGATATTTTTTGGGGGGGTGGTCGGGGATATAGCTCAGCGGCACAATTGCTTGCCTGGCAACGCAAGGTCCTGAGTTCGATTCCCGGTACTCACACACAAAAAAGTCAAGAACAAGGAGGGGCCGGAAATGAGGCTGAGAAGGAGATGAAGCCATAAAACCGTAGGTATTTACAGATTGAGAAACCTAGAGCTCTGCTCCCTTCAGGGCAAGGGAGACAGGTCTCAGGCCTGCACTGGTACAGTGCGAGGTGTTGGCACTTAGCCCTGGGAGGGTTCCAGCCTATTGGGTTAGCCCGAAAAAAAGATTCATCCACCAGTAAAGGGAGACGAGAGTTCTGGTGGGGAACAACGGTCCCCTAGAAGTGACAAATATTGGTCTGCCTTCACATAAGCACCGAGGTTGAATGCGTGCTCCCTTTGTATTCCTAGAATTCATAAACTAAAAAAGGGATGTATGCGGTCCCAGGGTGTAGTGGCCTGGGGAGCCTGGCCAAAGGAAATAGGTATTCTTTCTAGAGGGTTTCTCACCCCAAGGTTCCTTTGGGATCAGTCCAACCTGAGTTCTTATAAAATCACCAAACACACAGGGAACAAGCCACTGTAGTGACAGACCCCAGAAACAAGCAGTAGAGTTAGTTTCTGTAAGAGTCTAAAATGCCACAATTATGAGCTAAGATTATGTGTAAGACGTAGAAAAAAATGCAACAAATTACTAGCTTCCCAGGAAATCAAATTTTTTAGAAGATATATAAAGAAGAAGCTGAAGGAGTTGAAACAAGTCGGACATAGTGGTGCATACCTGTAATCTCAGCATTTGGGAGGCTGAGGCAGGAAGATCACTACCAGTTTAAGACCAACCTGGATTACATAGTGAGTTCAAAACCAGCCTGGACTACATAGCAAAACCCTATCTCAAAAACAAAATACAAACAACAACAACAAAAAAAACAAAAACAAGAATTTGAAACAATAAACAAGGAAAAAAAAAATCCTGCCTGAAATAACCGAACAGACTTGAAAAAGAATGAGCTAGAATTTTTGGAAATGAAAAATACTAATAACAACATGAAGAACTGAGAGAAGTAGCAGACCCGACACAATAAAGAGGGCAGTAATGAAGTGAAAGCGCTAAAGACAGTACTAGAACCTGACCGAGTAAAAAGATGGTAATGAGCAAGTGAAGAGACATGAAACATTCAGAGGCCTGCAGAGATGAGAGAAGGGCGGGAGGTGGTGGGATGGAAGGGGTCTCCCGGCCTCTGGCGCTGAGTGACAGAGGCGATGCAGGAAGGAGGACTGAGAGGACTGAGGGAGGAGATGCGGGAGGCCAGGGAGAGGCCTGTGTCCAAGAAGACTGCCAGATTCATTAAAATGGCAGTACGGAGAGCCAGCGGCTTTGGGAGACTGAGACTTCAGACGCAGGTTCCAGTTTGCCTGGGGAACATGTGCTGGGCGTGACACAGATGAGGAGACAGAACTGGGTCTCAAGGTCTGTGTAGCTTCCTTGGCGGAGGAGGGATTTGCTGCTAACTTTCCTTCAGTGAGCTCTTCAAGTTCCTCTCTGGAACCTTCTTTCACTCCAAAGATACCTGTGAGGAAAGCCATTCTCAGGACATCCATGGACAGCTCTGAGATCTTCGTCTCTCGTTTTTCACATAGGAAACGGAGGGAGGCCCAGAAGCTTCAGGAATTTGTTTTTCCAGCCTTAAATTCCATCCATCCATTCACCTCATATATTTATTTAAAGCCTACTTTGTACCTGATACCTGGTGCTAGGCATACAGTCGTGATGGGAATAGATTCCTGCCTTTTGGGACCTTATCTGTTACAGGAGGGAGATAGGTAATAAAATAAGTAAAAAAATAAGTTTAAAAAAAAAAAAAAAAAAAAAGAAATGTTATGGGATGACAGGAGCTGTGGAGAAACTGAAGGACCAGCAAGGGGCTGGGATGCTGGTGGTGTCCCCCGGAAGGCGACTCTGGAGTGTGGAAGGCCCTGGGTGGCTCCTCACCGCGCATTGTGACAGTGTCTGGGGTTCCAGAGCGCAGGTCTGGGGGCGGGGGTGTCTGGAGACGGAGGAGAGAGAGGCACGGAGAGAGGGAGTGGGCGTGTGGTGGGCTGCGCCCCCCACGGGGGCAGCCAAGCCCAATGGGTCAGAAGGGCCACAAGGAGTCCTTTTACCCTTGTGAGGGGTAAGAGGCCGCCCCGCCCCATCCTCGGCCCCCTTCCCACCCTCCACCAGATCTCAGGTGACACCTTCTGCTGCTCCCCCTACCCTTGGGGACACCCAGAGGTGGGTCCAAATTGTCTCTGCATCCCAGGACGGCACGAGCAGCCAGGTGGAGCTCTTGAAAACCATCCCAGGCTAACCAAGGAGGTCGAGTGGGCCCGTGGGGCTCTGAGCCGCCGGGAGGGGCTGAAAGCTCCAAGGTCAGGCCCGTGTCTCTCCCCTCAGGACTCCTGTGACCAGCCTTCATGAGGCCCTGGACCAGTGCATGGTCGCCCTAGACCTCTTCCTCACCAACCAGTTCTCAGAAGCCCTCAGCTACCTCAAGCCCAGGTGAGCGGAAGCCCGGTGGGGGCGGGGCAGGTGTGGGGCGGCCTGGTGGGTCAGGGGGAGCCAGAGGAAGCCCTGTAACTCAGTGCCTTCAGCTTTTGGGGTCACCGTGACCCCTGAGCAGTCTTGTTAAACGGCTCAGACTCCCATCCCTCAGCATGTGAGCAGCCAGGTCCTTTCCGAAGTCACTGTGACTTCTAGGTTGATGCTTCCTGATGAGCCCACAGGGGGCTTCTTCTGTCAGCTCTAACACAGCCCCTTGGCTTAGTTTCCCCTGAAGGCTTGAGCTGTCGACTTCTCCGGGCATTAGGGGGATAATGAGGACCCCTCCTGTAACCAACCCCCTGTTTTTACAGCTGTATTTCTAGGTAATATGCATATACTGTTTTTTCTTTATTTACCTTTATTTCAGTTTGTAAAGCTGAGGTATACCTTGCACACTGTAAAATTCACCCTTTTTTACTGCCACATTTAAATATCATCTTTTGGGAGACAATTTAGTTCTTATATCCCTTCCTTGCCCTCGCTCTTATTATTATTTCACAGTATCTGACTAAATCATTAATCAATGTTTGCTTTATTAAATCCATAGAACTGTTGCTTATTGCAGAGACAAGTTGTATACCAGTGTTTCCTTTCTGAAGTTAATAATGCTCTTGTCTTTCCTCTTGCCTAATTTGCTCCATGTTTATCCTTAATCTTTATAATCTCCACCAGATGATCCTATCACGAGATTTTCCCTACATGTGCAAACACACGCAGTAAGCTCCCTGGCCCTGCTTTTCCTGCAAACCCGTCGGCTGGAGGACAGATGTGACGCCTGGCCACCTCCCAGCCGCCCCTGGGGCTTTCTCCGCCCCTCTTCATCCTTTCTCTCCTGTCTCCTCACTTCGCCAGCCCGTGTCTGCTAGAAACTTCCACCAGACCTGCACACACGTACATTTCCTCTATCACAAGTTGGCTTTCTAGCATCCACCGCAGCTGGGATCCCAATTCTTGTTAGTGTGATCTTTTCCCTTCTCTAGAAATGTTTGAGGTCTTCTCTTTTATTCTTCCTGAAGCGAAGGTCTTATTCTGTATTATCATGGCAGATTCTTTCAATTCTAGGATTGCCTCTGCCCCATCTTTTCTGTCTTTTTAAAAATCAGATGTTGGGCTTTCTGGCTCAGTCCTCTTCTGAGGCTTTTGTCTCTCTCCCCCTTTATCTTTTTTTTTCCTGTTTTTGGGAGATCTCCTTGACCTTCTCATTAAGTCCTTTGGCTTTTCTTTACTTCTATCACTATATGATTAACTCCATAATGCCCTTTGTTGCTCTCTGGATTTTTTTTCCCCCCTAAATTACCTTATTCTTGATGTATGGGTGCCCTGACTTCTTGTTGTTATTGTCATCATCACAGAATATTATTCTTTTAAAAAATGCTTTATTTTTGTCCTCACCTGATCTTGGCTTTTTCCAGCTTCCCGAGTTCTCTTTAATGGTGGGAATCCGCTTCTCGTGGGGGCTTTCCTCCAGTACTTAATGCTTCCTGGCTGGTTTTCCTCCCCAAAACAAAACCCTTGTGACGGGTGGGGTTGGCCTGAATGGTCCAGCAGAGAGGGGCTGGGTCCCAGCTATGAGCACGGGGGTTCAGATGCCCCAGGCAGTCCCCCTCTCTCAGCCGTGTGGGGCTATCTGAACTCTGAAGAGGGGAGGGGAAGCCGCTTTCTCTTGTTGCCAAATGCCCAGGCTGTCCTCTGTGCCACTAGGCCTGGTTTCTCTGAAACCCAAGCAAGCGAATGCCCTGGCGAGGACACCCGTTTCTATATGTCCCCAAGCCTGACCTGAGCACTTCCTCTAGACTTACCTGACCCGTGGTGGTGGGAGACCCAGGGTGTGACAGGACAGGTCCTCTGGTGGCAGTCAGCGTACCTCATGCCCGGCCTCTGATAAGGTCTTGGTGAGCAGCTCGGCATGGCCCTGTCCTGCTCTACCACTGAATGACCCGGTTCCCTTCCCACTAGTTTTCAAAGGCTTCTGGCTCTGCTTGCTGCCTGATTATTTTCTGTCCTTCGGCCCCAAACCACAGCCACCTCCTGCACTCGAAATCGGCTCTCCCGGCCCTGCCCTGCACTCAAGCACTGAGCTTTCTCCTCATCCCAAGGCCCAGCCAAAACCAGGCCTCACTGCCCTCTAGCTCTAGACTGTCCTGCTCACTTGGCGTCAGTGGAAGGGGGTCAGAGCACAGGAAGAAACGAAAGAGTAAAAGCTGATGGCGTGGGGTACCCTGGCCTGAAAGCTGTACCTACTACTGGTGGCTTAAGAGGATTTTTCCTCTGTAGCCTCCTCCCTTGATCCCTCACCCCAGCGGGATACTCTGAAGAAGAGGAAACCCTTACCCTAGAGGGGGCACCAGTCTTCCCAGGAGGCTACCTTCATGACAGCCACTGGTCTAGCGCAAATAATTCCTGCCTAAAAGCAGACAACCAACCAACCAAACAAACCAGGTCCCCAACCCCAGTCGTAGCTATGGAAGTGTTTTTGAAGGTTGAGGTCCAATTGCATTCACTAGTCCTTGCCGTTCACACTTTGTCTCATTGAACTGTCTCACTCTGTGCTGCAGGAGGTAACGGCTCACCCAGCGCCCTTCCCTGCACCGCGTGTACTTTCCAGATGTCAGCTCTTTAAATGCCGTTTTCGTGTTTCTAGTGTATGGTCCTTGCCTCTATGGCTGTGGATACTGTCCCTGGAGCAGGGAGGTACTCTGTTAATTTTCTTTTGTTTTTTGTTTTTTTGAGACAAGGTCTTGCTGTGTAGTTCGGGCTGGCCTTGAACTCCCTCTGTAGCGTAGGCTGGCCTCAAACTCGCAGCAATCGTCTTGCCTCAGCCTCTGGAGTGCTGAGATTACAGGCATCCACCACCACACCTGGCTGTTAATTTTCTTGATAAGTGAATAATCATGGCTTTTATGTGGTAGTGCTGGGATTCACATCCAGGCCCACCCAGACCTTGAGCCCCTCTTGGACTGCTGCATGCATCTGGGGCTTCAGAGTGAGGTGCTAGGTCATCTTGCATAGAGGGACCTTGCACTGCCTTTTTACCTCGGAGGTGTGAGGCAGGTAGAAAAGAGAGTGCAACCTGCATGTGTAGGATGCGGGAAGGCCAGGCCACGTCCACATGGTGTCCTGGAATTTCTTGAAGGGAAGAGGCAAGGTCACCTGCTAAGAGTGAGAGGCCACAGTTGTTGAGGGGTTACAGGGAGAGGACGCGGGTATTTCTGAGCACCATGACGCTCAGGGTGTCTGTCAGTGGGGGCAACCGTCTCCAGCACTGCTCAGTGGCGGCATGGAGGGAGGGCAGTCACGTGGTCTCTGGGCTGGGTTCCTAGCTCCGGGCAGCAGGCAGTGGGAAGTTTAGAACCGATTATTTTGACAAGGTGGGCTGCTATAAGGAGACCAAGGTGAGGGCCAGGAGGGGGGCCAGGTTGGAGGTGGGAAGACATCGAGGGTGATGAAGCAGAGAGGAGGGAGGCTGTGGTTAGGAGGGCAGCTGGCATCCCTCAAGGCCCCAGAAGCATTAGGGAGGAATTGAGACAACTGCTCCTGTGACAAAGATGAGGTCAAGGTGAGATCCAGGGCCTGGGAGGGTAGGCGGCATCTGTCACCAGTTCCTTCAGCACCATCTCACGAGTGTCCTCGTGCCTGCTGGGTGCTATGGCTCCAGGACCGAGCAAGGTGGGCCTGTGCTTGGCCCCAGTGGAGAGATAGTAAAAGAAGTAATAAGTGATACCTAGAGCTACACAAGGACCCTGTATCAGTCGGGGTTTCACTAGAGAAACAGATGTCAGACAAGCTATACAAATGTATAAGAAACTACAAGACGGCGTATGATGCCGGCCGCAGAGTTGGATGAGGAAGTGCGCAGAGGGTGTCTGCACGGTTCAGTCTAGGTCTGTAGCTCGCTGCAGTGTTCTGTGCAAGTCTGTATCAGGAGGTCGATGGGTCTACTCCAGAAGGCTGAAGGATCCAAGATGGAAGCCAAAGAGTCTATGCAAGAAGCTGGGAGGTGCCATCCAAGCTGAAGGCGAAGACTGAAGCTCCTCTGAAGAACAGAAGCAGTCTGTCCTCCTCATTTCCCTTTTTATACCGTCCAGGCACACTAGCTGCCCTGGGGTGGGTCTTCTACAACTTAAGGTGTAGAATTGCTGAGCTGACTTAGTTAAGCTTCTGAACTTCTCAAGTGGACACAGTTAATCAACCACTACAGACCCCAACTCGTGTGGGTAAGGGGTGGGCTGCAAAGGCTTTAGGACCGGCCACGTAAATTCCCAGGGTGCATTGCAAAATGAAGATGTTCACAATTTTTGTTCTCAAATTATTAAGAATGTCAAGGCAGTGACGGCAGAAAATTAAACCAGACACAGAGGTCTGAGCAGCTGCACAGATCATGTACCTCCAAAGCTGACCCTGGAGCACTCCTGGAAGAAGTGACATTTAAATTGTCTGTGGCTGGATGAGAAGTCAGCCCAGTGGCGAAGGTGTTTTCAGTGCATGAGGGTCTGATGTATTTGAGGAGTGGAGCCCCTCAGCCTGGCAAGTGGAAAGAACAGAGGCATACCCTAGATCCCGTAAAACCTGCATCCCTCGAATCCTGGGTCCCTGGCTGGCAGATCTGACAGGTGGTGGAGCTCAGGCTGTGATGTGAGCAATAGGAATGACTGTAGACTGAGTGGCTGTAAATGCAGATGAAGCCTCACTCCCTCGCCCCGCCCTCCATTCACCTGCTGTGTGGTGTGGTTCCCAGCAGGCCACAAACTGGTACTGGTCCTTGGCTCGGGAGTTGGACACCCTAGGGTAAGGCTGGAGTTGGGGGCCAGGAAGCAGTGATGGGAGCTGGGTAAGGTGAGGAGGCCAGGATAGGAGACTGGCAAGGATCTGACTCAAGGCCTGAGCTGAGGGCCCCACCCGAGGAAGGAAGGGCTGAGGCTACCTGCAGGTGGCCACCAGGTCTCCAGTCCCATACCCATGTCTGTGCTTGGCTCTTCCAGTGTCCTCCCAGGCTGACAGCTGGTGTGGGCCCCAGAAGGCGAGACCCTAGTGGGCATCAGGTCACATCAGCTCACAGGCATGGGATCTGTGCAAACAAGAACTTGTGGCGTACGTGCTGAGCATGATGTGGCTGAGGCTGGGCGTTGTCCTATCCCTGGACCCCATCTTCCAGTCCAGATCTGAGCGGGGAGGCTTCCGGGTGAGAAGCTGGGGAAGGGCCTTGGGCTCCGACTGGAAATTCCACTTTGTCTGCCAGCTGCCGGGGTGGGGCCGTCCCTCCCCCTGGGCTCTGCACCAGGCCCAGCGTGGCAGGTGGAACTGAGTCCTGTGGGTCAGACCTGCTGGGGGACAGGGAGAGAGAGGCGAGGGCCTAAGTCTTAGACCCGAGGGAAGGTGTGGGGGAGCTCATGGAACTGTATTCTGTGCTGCCAGGGAGTCCCCTCCTCACAGAGAAAGGTTTTCTGCTGGGATTGAGTATTGACCCTGGCAGGATGTGAGGCAGTTCGCATTTACTGAGCATGGTGATGTGGCTGCTGGCCTCGGTGTCTTATTTATTTATTTATTTATTTTTGGGTACAGTACTGGGAATTGAACTCAAGACCTTGCACTTGCCAGGCAGGCGCTTGTGCCACTGAGCTATCTCCCTGGCCCTGGGTGTGTTATTTACACCACCCAAAAAGCCCTGGGCCAGAAGGGTTACTGTACGTATTTGATAGAGGATGAACTTGGGGCTCAGAGAGGCTGTGAGATTTACCGAGGTCACACAGCTGCTGACCAGCAGAGCTGAGGTTCTGGGCTGTGTCTGAGAAACTCTTGAGTCTATATTAGCCCTGCCCACCCCCTGTAGGCAGCTGCTGCCCTCAAGGGAAGCTGCCCTGGCGCAGCAGGGTGTCCTGAGAGTTGGCGAGGGGGGTTGTCTGTCTTTTCCATCTTCGGAAGCCTCTCACTCACTGGAGCCCACCACTGAGGGCCACCCAGAAACAGAAGGCAGCTCGGTCACAGGTGTTTTATGATCGAGAAGGAAGCTGGTTAAAGTCACATGGTCTCACATACAACCCTCTATAAATCTTAGTCACCTCTCTTTCAAGTTCCCAGCATAAGCCTGGCACTGAGGAGGTTCATCAATAATTGACAAGGGCGCACAGGGAAGGGACTGAGGCGCACACCTGCGCCCGCCCAGCAGTCTCTCCAGCTTCACTGCCACCACAGAGGCAGTCCCAAGCCCCAGGTGGTCAGGGGACTCCTGGGGTACACACAGGAGGCCCCCCTACCGTAGGCCCGCAGCTGCGAGGAGCAGGAGGCCTCCTGAGACCGCGTTTTGTGTTGAGGACAGGGATGAGTCAGGCTGAGCTCCGTCCACAGTCTGCAGAGAGCTGCGCTGGGCTGATGTCAGCCGAGTGTGGGCTGTGCCTAGTCAGAGAGCTCCCTGAGAAGGCGCTCATTTGGAGGCCTGATGGATGGGTTGGGAAATGGGGAACCCGGGGAAGGGCATCTCAGTTGGAGGAAACAGCAGGGGCAAAAGCCCTGCGAAGGGAAGTGTGGGGTTTCTCAGGAAAGTCTGTGCTGTTCAGTGAGCCCAGGGGTACAGACTTGAGTGTGACCAGATCATTGAAGGCTGAAGCTGCAGGAGGCTGGAGAGGAGCTGGGCATGTTGGTGCACGCTGGTGACCCCAGCCCTCTGGGAGGCTGAGGCAGGAGGATTCCAAGTTTGAGCTTATCTTGGGCAACTTAACAACTTAGTGAGACCCTGTCTTTTTTCGTTTGCTTGTTTTTGTTTTTCTTCCGGTACCAGGAATCAAACTCCTGACCTTGAGCTTGCCAGCCAGGCGCTTTTGCCACTGAGCTAAATCCCCAGCCCTGAGACCCTGTCTTAAAATAAAAATTTTTTTTAAAAAGGGTGAGGGTATGGCATAGGGCAAAGACCATTTTCATTCTCTAGTACCAAAAAAAGAAAAGAAAAGTGCTGGCAGGCCAGGCAGGGCTGGCATCATTGGAGCCTGTAAGGTTCAAACAGGGGCGACAAGCTCAGAAGACTGGATGGGTACGGGCAGCAGGTGGCCTGTGAGGAGGGCCAGGGGGTGTGGATGGGAGTTAGCCCTGAGGTGGAGCATGGGGACGGACAGGAGGCGGGGAGCAGGAAGGTGGGCCTGTTGGAGGTGGGGCAGAAGGCGAGAGGCAGCCCCAGGCAGGCGTGGGAGGCAGCCCTAGGCCAGTGCACCCCTAGGCCCTCTGATGGCCTCATGCTGCCCTCCCAGAGACAGAAGGAGCTGGGTTCGGGCTTAGAAGGTCACTTAGGGCCACTCAGCAGGAAGAAAAGGTCTGGGGACCTGTTCAAGATCTTTTGAGCAGCAGTGAAAGGGTCAGACATTGGGCAAGTCCCTCCCTCTCCCTAGACTCACCTCCCTGAGAAAGGACAGGAGGGACAGGTGCTCGAGGCCTGCGTGCCGGGGGTGACTGGCCCGGCACCTCTGCAGTGCAAGGATGGCGGTTTCAGTGTCCCTTCTCTCCGGCAGAACCAAGGAGAGCATGTACCACTCGCTGACGTACGCCACCATCCTCGAGATGCAGGCCATGATGACCTTCGACCCCCAGGACATCCTGCTCGCTGGCAACATGATGAAGGAAGCGCAGTCACTGTGTCAGAGGTCAGGGCTGGAGCGGGGTGGGGGCTCAGGGTGGGAAGGCCCTCCCTGCTGTCACCCTGGCTGTCTCAGTCCCTAAAATGCCGTTGGTGCTGCTGCTTGTCTTACGTGTTGTATCCCTGAGTGCTGGAAGCAGGCCCCATCAGCACTGCCTCGGTGTCTTATCTGAGCCAGCCATGGAGCAGTCTCCAGGGACCAGCAGATGCATTCTGGCTCCGTCACTTCATGAGTCTTTGACCTCCCTGTGAAATGAGCGTGGTGATGCAGGCATCTGGGTCGTCCTTGGTTGTCCCGAGTCTCCGACCCAGGACTTGGCGTGTAGCTGAATGTTTGGTCCACATTCGCTGCTTGAATGAATGGACTGACAGCCCCCATGTGTTCATCCGTGAGCAGGTGTTCACACCTGCTGCGGGCCCGGCCTGGCTGCCCAGGAGGGCCTTAGCCCCGTGCAGCACCTGGGGGGGACACTGGTGTTCACAGTGACGTATCAGCATGATGCAAGGATGCTTGGGAGGGTCCAGCCCAAGGGCAGGTGCTGGCCAGGGCAGAGGGGAGGAGGAAGGGTGCTCCAGGAAGAGGCAGCAGCAAGGGCCCTGGAGCTGGGGCCGCTGCCGGGGATCCAGAGTTCAGAGAGTCCTCAGTGAGGGGCCTGTGTGGCTTAGAAGCTGCACCAGAATCCAAGGCTGCACCTAGGGCAGAGCAGAGCTATGAGGCTCTGAGGGAGGAACAGCCTTCTAGAAACCCCAAGTAGATAGCACAGGTGAGCAGGCACCAAGCCTGGGTGGCAGGAGAAGTGGAAGAAACGGAGGCGAGGGAGCCAAAGGTAAGACAAGCTGGGGGCTGCCGAGGACAGCACGCATCGGGCTGCCTCAGATTCTCGGCCAGTGATGGAGACAGGTGTCAGCCGTCCCCGCTTACCAATGAGCACTTGGAGGCTCAGAGAGGGAAGGTGGCTTTTACCACCTGGAAACTTGAAACTTCTCTTTCTGACCCCAAAGCCTGTATTCTCTCTGCTAGGGCTGCCTCTCTGGGCATCTCCTGGAGTGCGGTGTGCGAGGCCAGGCGAGTGGGCCCCCTCTGACCCTCACCGAATGACCTGAGGCCCCTTTTCCCCCTCAGGCACCGGAGGAAGTCTTCGGTGACAGACTCTTTCAGCAACCTGGTGCACCGCCCCACAATGGACCAGTTCACGGAAGGTGGGTGTCTGGAGTGCCCCACGGGCACACTAAGACCAGCTGGCCTGGCTGTCGGCCAAGAAAGGAACAGGAAGGGGCAGTTATTCTCCCAGTTGTCACCCAGCATGCTGGGCCTGGGCCCAGGGACTCAGATGGGCTAGGCCTGGGGCCTTTCGAGGAGCGGCCCTCGGGAAAGGGGGCTGGGGGCAGGTGTTACCCACCCCCCTGACAGCATTGCAGACCAGGAACCCGAAGCCATGGAGAGGAAAAGCTGTCTTCTTTCAGGGTGGTGGCTTTGCTCCTCGGCTAGGAAGCGCTTAGACTGGAGTGTGAGGTTAGGCGTGCTGGCCCACTTGTCCTAGTGATCTCATGTGCACCAAAAGACTGGTTTGAGAAGGTGACAACATTGAAGCAAGACAGCTGGTGGTGGCAGGAGAAGGTCTGGCCCCTTCTCATCTGCATGGCATCTCTGTGCTGTGCCTGTGTGTGGCCGTGAGCAGCTCAAAGCCCTTCAATGCAGGGCACAGGCCCGACTCACCCTGAGAGCCCTGGGAGATGCCAGCAGCAGACAGTGCATCCAGTGGTGCCACGTGTGTGGCATCTGCAGGGACGCTTGGGGACAGGAGCAAGGCTGTGGAGACGCTCTGGATGGGAGGGCCTGGGACCAGTTTGAAGACTGGGGAGACATGTGAGCTAACATGGGCGGTGGTGGTGGCGGCGAGGAGGTGGCCCAAGCTCCCTTTGCTTCCGGGGAGGTGGGGGCTGGAGGACTGGGCCCAGACCTCCGGCCGAGTCTAGAAGGCCACAGAGCTTTGCTTTCTCCTTGCAGAGGAAATCCATGCCGAGGTCTGCTATGCAGAGTGCCTGCTACAGAGAGCAGCGCTGACCTTCCTGCAGGTAGGAGCCCCACCACCCAGCACGGCCCGCCCCCACGCTGGCGCTTCTGCCTCGGCACTGTTTTTGGATGCTGCTAAGGGTCACGCTGTGCAGCAGGCATTGTCACAAAGCCCGCTTTATATTTGATTCATTCAGTGAACACTGTAGTACAGATAGGTCCTTTTTACATATCCCACATTAGTTTGTCTTCCTATGTTTATATTTATTCTTTTGGGTTTTTTGGTTTTTTTTTTGGTCTTTTTGAGACAGGGTCTCACTATGCAGTTCAGGCCAGCCTTGAGCTCACTCAGTAGCCCAGGCTGGTCTCGAACTTGCAATGATCCTCCTGCCTCAGCCTCCCAAGTGCTGGGATTACAGGCCTGAGCCAACACGCCCGGCTATATTTATTGTTTAATCTTTGCCTCAGAGACCAGCAAAGGGCAAACCTGGGGGAGAACAGCCAGTTTGCCAAGGTCTGTGGCAAGCAAGGATTTGAACCTGTATCTGGCTAAGTCCAGGACCCTGGCCACCCAAACACACCGTGGAGTTTGGAGAACTATCACTACATGACTTGCCAGAGTGTCTGGGCTACAGTTACAGTAGATCATCTAATGCGGGGAGCTCCAGATCTGGCTGGGGGCGGGCAGGCAGACCCTGGCGCCCTCCCCCGCCCTTGGCAGCCCCCGGCCACGCCCTCCATCTCTCCTTCCTGCAGGACGAGAACATGGTGAGCTTTATCAAGGGCGGCATCAAGGTCCGGAACAGCTACCAGACGTACAAGTGAGCAGGGCTGGTGTGTGGGCGGCTGGTGCCGTGGCCCTACCTCTCCCCTGGGGCACTGTGGGAGGAGAGGACTGGCTGGGAGTCAGGCCATCTGGAATGCTAAGCTCAGGGACACCAGGCCTCAGTTTTCTGGCATAATAGTCCCCTGGTTTTCTGGCTGTTCATTTAACCTCCTGAGTGCTCCGCTAGGGAAAAGTAAGACCCAGGTTCCACAGCCTCACCTGAGGGAGAGAGGAAGACAGGCCCAGGCATAGTGTTTTAGGGATAGCAGGAGAACTCCTATGCATCTGTGAAGGCCCAGGCCAAATGCCGCTTTCCCTGCAAAGCATTCCTTGACCTTCAGGTTGACAGAGATGGTGCACACATGTGCACGTGTGTGCGCGCACACACACACACACACACATATGCACAAGCTCCCTGAGGGTCAGATTCATTTCCACGCATGACAGATGGACCATCTAATCCAGAGCACTTTTACCTGGTGTGGTTCCACAGTCCCGTATCTACAATCCAGAGTCAAACAAATCTCTTCAAGTCCAGGTTCCTTCCCCTAAATTTTACACAAAACTCATCTCCTAGTAAAAGCTTACCTGGGGCACCTTGTGTTCATCTTGTCCGTTTCGTGGGACCCTTTCGCCGCAGAGCTGGGCATTGCTGGTCAGCATGACAAGGTGCTGCTGGGGTATAGCACAGGGCAGGATGCGGACCCTGTGTCACCTTGGGGACCTGTGTTGGAACTGTCCTGTCCGAGGACATCTGGACAAGTGTTCTGGGTCCTCCAGTCCCCAACACACACCTGGTCAGGCCGCCCAGGAACCTAGGCTGGTCATGCTCTGGTCCTGGTCCTGGTCCTGAGGGGTGGGGTTAGCTAGTCCTCAAACGCCAGCTCCTCAGAGCTGCCAACTCCCCGCCTCGGGGTCCCCGCGTGTGGCCCCACAGGGTTTCTCTCTTCCCACAGGGAGCTGGACAGCCTCGTCCAGTCCTCACATTACTGCAAGGGCGAGAGCCACCGGCACTTCGAAGGAGGGGTGAAGCTTGGTGTGGGAGCCTTCAACCTGGTGAGTGCTGGGCTCCAGGTCACCCTCCCCGGCTGTCCCACCTCAGGCATGGTCACTGCCGAGCGGTCCCAAAGGTGAAACCAGCACAGTGGGGATCCGGTGGCGGGTGCTAGAGCTGGTTCCATCTGGAAACAGCTGGTGACCCAGGGGACAGAGAGCCAGATCCTCTTCTGGAGGAGCTGGGAAGGTTTGCTGGGGCAGGAGGTGAGCGTTAGAGCTGGATCTCGAGGAAGCCGCAGGTTTCAGGTGGGGAAGGCGCTGCAGGCGGGGGGAGCAGTGTGAACCCTGTCCCCGCTCCTGGGAGGAGGAGCTGCTCAGAGAAGGGTAGCCAGGGACCTTACCAAAGCCTGTGTGTGTCAGGGAAGGTAGAGCTCTGTCCCTCCCCGGTAATACCTGTTCCGAGAGCAGGGCTGGGGGTGGGCGCACCCTGCCCCATTCTAGGGCCCCTCAAGTGTCCACCTGCCTCTGTGTCCGCAGACATTGTCCATGCTGCCTACTAGGATCCTGCGGCTGCTGGAGTTTGTGGGGTTTTCAGGGAACAAGGTGAGTACCTGCCTTCTAACCTGGGCTGGGCAGAGTGGGGCGGAGGAGCTGCAGCGCCTGGCGGGCTCTTGGGCTCAGCGCCCTCAGTGTGTGGCCCTGGACAAAGCCCAGACCGTGCGGGGTTTGGTCTTTATCCAGTTGCAGGGGCCTGTGATCCCTGCCTGGCCCCTCAAGGGGTAGAGAGGCTCTGGGGTGAGAGTGGGCGTGAAGGCCGCCCAAGGGGTCTGGGGTCAGCTTCTCTGGGCCTGACAGGTGTCAGCAGCCTGGAGGTCAGGGCCTAAGTAGCTCCAGCCTTGTGCCCTTTACCCTGTGACTCTCAGCCAGCCCCGCCCCACTTCCCTGAGCCTCCTTTGAGGTAAACCAGGGACTTGGTATCAGCCAGGCGAGTCCCGCTCAGAGGTGCACTTGCTTGGCCCTTCTGGTCGCTGCCATCCCATGGGCCTCTGCATTATTATTCCTATATTATTTTTCTCAAAAGCAGCTTGTAATTTTTACTTAAATTTATTTAAAAGAAACATTACTGTGCCCAACCCATAATGTTCACATTAGGATATAGTCACAAAGGTGAGTGTTTGGTGGGCCGCGCAAACTAGGTGATGGGTCGCCCCAGCTCAGCTTGAGGTCGCCTCGCTCTGAGAAGCGGGGAGCAGGGCCAGGGTCTGGGTGCGGGTGAGCGTGGCTCAGCTCCCCTGGGCCTCTTTGGAAGGACAGAGAGGCCCGAAGAGGGAGGTGCCCCTCGTGTGGAGCTTGCTGCCTCTGGGCACCAGTCCCTGGGCCCTGAAAACCTTGGTTGGCATCTGCAGTCCACGGCTGGCGCCTCCACAGTCCCTTGGGTTTGGTTTCCTACGGCAGGGCCTCAGGGCACCAGTGGAGTGTCCATGCTGATGGGACCGAGGTAGGACATGTGACCCAACTGCCGCTGCAGCTTGGGTCTAGTTTTTGTCCCAAGGCAGGATAGGCGTGGATATGACAGGCCCAGCTGGTGTTTTTATTTTGTTTTATATTTGGTACCAGGAATCGAACTCACAGTCTTGCACTTGCCAGGCAGGTGCTGTGCCACTGGTCTGTATCCCCGGCCCCTTGGGCTGGTGTTTTTGAAAGAACAAGAATGCTGTGGAGGAGAGATGAAGGGGCAGAGCGTGGCTTCTGAGAGCCTTCCCGGGTGCCAGGCCTTTTGGCCCCATTGTGGCCAGAGCCAGTGGGAGGACATCTGGCTCTGGTCCTCCTTCCTCCTGTCGAGGCCCGCAGCCAACAGGTGCATGAGGGAGCCACGGAGAGGGGCTGTGGAGAGGACAGGTCACAGGAGATCCAGCCAGGGCTCGGGCCGTCCCGGCAGCACAGGGCGGAGGCTGAGCGCCGAGAGCAGCCCCCGGCTCCTGGTCACAGGCTGGGAACGGCCGCCCCGGCCTCCGCGGTTGCAGGTCCCGAGCCCAGTGCTCTCCCGGCCCTGCGGCAGTGGCAGGGCCCTCTCAGCGGCCCAGGAATCTCCCAGGCCCCTGGCCCTCCTGGGAACCTCAGGCTGTGCTTTCCCCCAGGACTACGGGCTGCTGCAGCTGGAGGAGGGTGCGACGGGCCACAGTTTCCGCGCAGTGCTCTGTGTCATGCTGCTGCTCTGCTACCACACCTTCCTCACCTTCGTGCTCGGTAGGAGTCCCCAGGGTGGGTCTCCACGGGTGATGGGCTGCAGGCCTCTTCAGGCCCCTGGCACTGGGCTAGTGTCCTCAAAACAGAAATAGCAGAGCCACAGTCACCGTCCTGGCGCCTGGGCTGCTGACTGCCCTTCCTCACTGGGGGCCAGGTTCCAGCCGCAGCCCTCTCATCCATGGGAGAGGCCAGTTGTGCCCACCCTGGAGAGCGTGCGGAATGTGGTCCTGGGGCTCTGGACAGACGTGGCAGATACCAGCTCCTGGTGACTGAGCCTGTGATGTGCCCAGGGGAAGTCTGCCCTATCTTGTTTAATCCTACATCCCCTGGAGATAGGAAGAATTATGATCGCCATGCACAGAGGGACAGTAGCTTGCCGGGAGCGGGGAGGAGCTGGTGGTGACCCCCTTGCCGCCACCTCAGGTACTGGGAATGTCAACATCGAGGAGGCGGAGAAGCTGTTGAAGCCCTACCTGAATCGATACCCCAAGGTGAGCCCACCCTCTGCCAGGCAGCCCCAGCCCGTGAGCGCCCCGTGGAGCCACACGGCCCACACGAGTGTCATTGCAGGGCGCCATCTTCCTGTTCTTCGCGGGGCGGATTGAAGCCATTAAAGGCAACATTGATGCGGTGAGTGATAGGCCCCGGGGGTCTCCCAGACCAGCAAGACATCAGACAGGGTTCTATAGGGACAGGGCAGACGGGGAGGGGGCCCCCAGGAGAGAACCAGTGAGAGCAGGCGTGAGGAGGCGGGTCTGACCGAGGCAGCCTGGGAGGACGAGGGAGGCTCTGGCACTTGTGCTCCAGGACTTTGATGGAGCCGCAGGACCGTGGCGTCCCTGCTGAGGGAGTGCTCGAGGGAGGAGAGCTGGCAAAGACGCTCTCTGGGGGTGCGGTGATAAGGTGGAGCCTGGTGAGCAGAGTAGTGGTGCCAAGGGCTGAGGCTGCCCTCATGGGGGGTCTCGTGGTGCTGGTGGGACCCCAGCACCAAGCCATGGCCCACCGTACACCACAGTATGGAATTCTGGGTATCCAGCTAGCCTTAGCAGGACAAATGTCCCCGATCTTAGGAATCCCACAGAAACTACTGGCGTGCGGCTATGTCCCACCTTTTCATTTTGTGACCCAAAATCTAGAGTCCCAGCATTGCTTCTCGGCCTTTTGGCTAAGATCAAGTGTAGAGGCCCAGGCAGGGACAGCGGCAGGCCCAAGGTGCTGCAGACGCAGGGTGTAGAAGCAGGACTGGCTCCCTGGCACCGCCTGGGTCTGCTCAGGGCCCACCGTGTGCTGGAGGCCAGGCTGCTGTGCGGTGGTGGCAGAGGATGCAGAGGGTGGCTGAGACCCGGGGGCACAGCCAGGCTGACCAGCAGGTGCCCACAGGCCGTCCGGCGGTTCGAGGAGTGCTGCGAGGCTCAGCAGCACTGGAAGCAGTTCCACCACATGTGCTACTGGGAGCTGATGTGGTGCTTCACCTACAAGGGCCAGTGGAAGATGGCCTACTTCTACGCCGACCTGCTCAGCAAGGAGAACTCCTGGTCCAAGGTGGGCGGACACTCGTGTTGGGGCAGGGAGAGGTCAGACCCCACCCAGACTGGCCACGAGTCCCAGACCAAGAGCCAAACTGACCCCTGACAGGACACAGATGTGCCAGCTGGAATTTAAACAGAACTATGTGCTGTCATAGGACTCAGGATTAGAAAGGACCTTAGAGCCTTTACTTATGCATGTGCATGTATTTGGTACTAGAGATGGGACCAGGGCCTTGTACACGCTGGGCTCACGCTCTACCACAGGGCTGTGTCCCCAGAATTACAGTGTGTTGGTCGAGACATTTAGTGACAAGGGACAGAAACATGGCTCTTATGTCTAGGCAAGTGCCATCCAGTAGAACTGTCTGCTATGGTAGAAACGATTGGTTTTGGCATTGTCCCAATATGGTAGCTCCTCGCCCATGTGCATATTCAGCACTTGAAAAGGGCCACTGGAGGAATTTAATGTCTAATTTCAATTGATTAAACTTTCAAATAGCCGCATAAGACCAGTGGCTATGGTATGGGGCTGTGCAGGTCTAGAACATGGAAGCCTCACTGGCTTACATAACTGAAAAATCTAGGCAAACCTGACTTCAGGTACGGCTAGATCCAGGAATTTAAAAGACATCACCAGGCTTAGTCTTTCTGTCAGTGGCTGTGTTCTCTTCTGTGACACCTTGTTGTGCAGGCAGGTTTTCCATGTGACAGGCGAGGTGACTGCAGGCTGCCCGTGGTACTCATCTTCCCCGAGGCTTCGACCGCAGTCCCACAGCTGAGCCTCACTGGCCTGGCTTAATTAAGCCCTTTGTCAATGACTGGAACAAAGATGGTGGGAAGAGGCCCCCTGAACTGAGAGGAAGAGAACAGTGGTTCTGTAGGAGGAGCAAGGAGACATATCTGGCAGTAGCATGTGCGTGTATATGTGTTTGTGTGTGTAGGGATTAACAATATGCCAGGTAGGCAAAAAAACCAAATGAGGTGCCCACCCACCATAGAGGAAACTTATCATGGCAAGTGTTAAATGGCAAGGATTAGCTATTTTCATCATAGCAGCAGCACAGCCCTCTGAACCAGGAGGTTTAGAATTACCTAGGTCATCAGAAAGCATCTAATCTGGTGCTAGCATGTGGATCTTCATGACTTTATCCTTGCCCACAGCAGACATTGCTAATCGATGCTGGCACCCTCTGCTGTGAACCTGGCTGTAACCTTGGAAACCGCCAGGCACTGTTAGAACTGATCTGCCCTGGCACACGTCAGGGGACCTAGTTGTCATTTGCATCTAGTCCTTGTTTCTCATCCCCACTGTACCTTCGAGTGGTAGTCCCTCCTCAGTGCTGTTGCCTGGGGACCAAGCTGAAAGAGTTCCCTGGGGCAGGCGGGGCTCCCGGAGGCTTTCCCTGGGCTCTCATTGTCTAGCACTTGCCATTTCCTACACACCACACCCAGTAGGGCTAACATACATTGGGGCTCAGGGGCTAAAAGATGAGGCCAGTCCACATAGCTGTGGGTGACAGACTCGGATAGGACGACAGTAGGTGAGACTCTGAAGTCTCTGCTTTTCCCTTGCTGCCAGGCTGTAGGAGGAGGCAGGTCTGCCCTGCTGCTGACAGTGCCTGCTCAGGGGCAGCCCTGTTCCTCATCCTCTCCCACTCCCAACAAGAACAAGGGCTCGGGAAGCTTTGTGAACCGGGACTGTCCGGGACTTCCTGTGCAGTGAGGCGGCCAGCTGGAGCCCACATGGGAAGGGGAGGCCTGGGTGTCTGCAGAGATGCTCTGAGGAGCAGTAAGTCCCTCTGTGTCTGCAGCTGTCCTTGGAGGGGTTAGAATGCCCTGGGTTCTGGGCCCTCGCTGCAGCATTTGGCTGCCATGGCCTCACCAGCTTCTAACCCTCAGTGCAGTGAAGCGGGGATCCTAGCGGCGCTGGGGCCGCCCTGGGAGTCAGAGCCAGCCAGGGGGAGAAAGAAGGCTTCAGGGAGCCCAGACCTCTGAGCTGAGTCTTGGAGAGCGGAAGGTGCAGAGCGGAGGCAGTGTGAAGACCTCTGAGCCCGGCAGCAGTGAGAGCGGGAGCTCAGGGCGGGGCCGCTGCCAAGGTTCTGTACCAGCTGCCTGCTCGAGGGCTCGCGGCGTCGGCGTGGTGTAGGCGGGGGACAAGCGGGGCCCTCCATCTCAGAGCTGTCAGCTTCGGCGTCATCTGCCTGACACAGACGCTGGGGGTGCAACCTAGCAAGTCGATGTTGTACAGAGGGCAGAGGGTCAGATCATCCTGGGGAGACTGGGCTTCCATTGGAGGGCGGCGACCATTTTTTTGTCAGCTGCCCATGAGCTGGATGCACCACTCTAGGTCACAACGTCCACTTCGCACCCAGTGACACAGCGCGGGTGAGCGGTCAGGGGTGCGGTGGGGAAGGCGCCTGGCAGCACACAGTGGAGTCCTGGGTGGGGGGTAGTGAGGATTGGGGTGGCAGCGTGTAAGCCGGAAAGCAGACGGGGCAGATCAGAAGGGCCGCCGTGGCCGTGTGGGCTTTATTCTAACAGCGGGGTGGGAGGAGCCCATGAACTCCTGGGTTCAGGTGTGTGCATGCCGAGCTCCCCGTTACCCAGGCCAGGAATACAAGAGCGAACAAAACCCCGCGCAAGCTCACGTCCTAGTGAGGAGAGCGTCAAGAAGCACACACGCCGGTGGGGTCTGCCAGCGTCAGGTTCTGTCAAATGGGTGGCTGGGCAGGCCGTCGAAGCCTCAGGACAGTGAAGGGCGAGGTCACACGGCTCCCTGGAAGAAGACTTCCACGAGGAGGTGCTACGGCAAGCAGAAACACCGAAACGACACCGAGGACTTGGAGGCAGATTTACTGACGTCGATGGGCACTGATTGGGATCACTCCCGGAATATCAGGCCCCGATCGCGGGTGGTCCAGGGCTTAGATGGGATAAGCAAGCAGGAAGTACTGGCTTGTCAGTTGGGGATTGGTTTATACAATGTGCATCACAGTGACCAGCTGTTTCTAAGAGACAGGAGCAACCGGATGTGGAACAGGAACTATTACCTGGGCAACTAAGAAACTGACGTATATTGGCAGCGGGGTGTGTGTGAGAGAGAGATTTTCTCTACAGAGGGAGCTGTGGCTGCAGCAGGTGCAGGGAGGCCAGTGTAGCTGGAGTTTGCAAGTGACGGGGAGACTGGGAGCAGGAGAGGGCAAGGCCGGTGAGATCCCAAAGCTGGACATTAGGACCTGGTCGCCTCCATGTCAGGGGCGGAGGAGAGGGAGAGGGAGGGGCCAAGAGGTTAAAGATGGGCGGGGACAGGTTTCCTCTGAGGAGGTCCCGTCAGGCCCCAACCAAGACGGGTTTTCCTCACACTGGGAAGGGCAGACTGAGGTGCTGGGCTCCAGCAGCAGTGGCTGCCAGGTGGAGGCTGCTTTGCACCTCCCGCAGCGGCCGGTCTCCAGGACGTCCTGCTCCCTTTCCTTCCCCACCCCTGTGTTTCTTTCTTGGCCGCGGGCAGGTGCGTCCCTTGGCGGCAGCCCTAGGAGGCAGGAGCTGCAGTTCAGGGCTCAGCCGTGTGAGGGCAGCACAGGGCCAGGCGCCTCTCCCCAGGGACTTCTGGTGGCCTTCAGGGTGGACGGGGTTTCCTGCTGGCTGTCTCTTCCCTGTGTGTGTGTGGTGGGGGGCGGCGCTGCGATCCAGCGGGGCAGCTCCCAAGTAGGCTCCCTGCTCCATGTGCCCCAGTAGCTCTCTTGGAAGTGGAGGGGCCGCTCTGGGCGTTGTCCTGGGCAGGGAGTGAGGGGATGTGTGTCAAGGGCCTGGGGCTCACGCAGACGCGGCTCCCTGGGGGCCTGGCTGAGCCCCGCCCAGGGCCCTGCCCACTTCTCCGTCTCACAGCTCTGAACACAGCGCGCTGCACACAGGCTGCTCCCTGGCCCCACCGCTCTTTGGGGTCTCCGGATCGGTCTTCAAGGGCTCACTGTGCAGTCACTGCTTCCCAGAAGCCCTGGCATCCCCGTCTGCTCCTCGTGTGGGCCCTTGACCACTCCCAGCTCATGTCCTCAAGTTGCAGTGGCTCCCTCTGTTCTCTTCCCCTCTGGGCCTGGGGACACTGTCAGCCCCTGTGCTGGGCCCGGTGAGGTCTGGATGAGATGCTCCAGGCAGGGATGTGAGGGAAGGAGGTTGCGCGTACCTGACTTGCTCGCCTGCTCTCTCTCAGGCCACCTACATCTACATGAAGGCTGCCTACCTCAGCATGTTTGGGAAGGAGGACTACAAGCCGTTCGGGGATGACGAAGTGGAGTTGTTCAGGTGGGCTCTGCTGCATAGACCAGCCAGGCTTTGCCGCATGCTACCCAAGCTGGGCCCCTAGGAGGCTGTGGTTGTGTCACCATTCTCTATCAGGTCAACGTGGAACCTAGCCGGATGTGGTAGTGCCCGCCTATAATCCCAGCACTCAGGAGGCTGAGGCAGGAGGATTGCCTTGAGTCTGGGGCCAGCCTGGGCTGCATAGTTCAAGGCCAGCCTGTACTACATAGGAGACCTTATCTCAAACAGACATGGAACCTAATCATGGAATTGATGTGGTTCTCGTCCAGTGCTGATTGTGACCAGAATCATTAAGGGATTAAGTTTGTGAAAATGACTTCCCTTGCAATGTTGTTTTGTGATGATAAAATGTATTTTAAAGAGCCTGGCAAACCAGGTGTGATGCCTGTAACCCTAGCACTCTAGGAAGTTGAGGCAGGAGGATCACAAGTTCAAGCCCCGCCTAGGAAACTTAGTGACTTAGTGAGATCCTGTCTCCAAATAAAAAATATAAAGAGCTGGGTTCAGTCCCTAGTACTGCAAAGAAAGAGCCTCACAGGACTGGGAAGCTAGAGTTGCCAGCCGGTGGTGCTTTTTCTGTTCTTCTGCCTCCTGTTGGCCTCGTGAGAGGGTCGGGAGGTCTGCGGGGGAGAGCTCAGCGGGGATGCTGGAGCCCAGCCCCTTCCTCCAGTCACGGCGAGGCTGCACAGTCCCAGTTTGCAGACCTGGCAGTGGGTGTAACACGAGCTCCCTGGGCTACTGCTGTTCCAGTAACAGGGTGCTGTCATTTGTGGGACGCCTGCTGCTACAGTGAACCGTCCCACAAAGCCTGTGAGGGCGGGCATAGGTGTCATCACCAACACGAGCCATGAGAGGCTCCATCCTGCGTAATCAGGCAAAGAATTTGGGGTCACCCCAGGCCCACTGTTTCCTGAGCCTAAGTGGCCCAGGCCTGAGGTCACAGCCTCACCCAGGGACTGCGGCAGGAGTTGGAGCTGGTGGCTGAGGCTCCCCGATGCGGAGCTACCCAGCCGCACACCGCATTTTATTCTGCCCTTGGAGCGGCTGAGGCGGCGGGAAGGAGGCCAGAGTGAATTAGGGGTCGAGCTGTGTGGTCCGGGGGTTAGTCTCCTATGCGAAACTGGGATTAGACTTCTGTTGGGCCCTCCTAGGAAACAAGGCCTGAAAGTGGGGGAGGTAGTCAGGGGGCAGGGCAGACCTGGGGGCGTTTGGGTCCATCCTGCCAGCTTTGGGGTCCCTTCCCCAGCCAAAGGAAGTGGTCTGGTTACGGGACAGGGCCTGTGAGATGAGAACAGAGCCAAGGAAGGGCTGGGGATTTAGCTCAGCGGCACAGCGCCTGCCTGGAAAGCGCAAGGTCGTCAGTTCGATTTCTGGTACCAGAAGAAAAAAGAAAACAAACAAACGAACAGACAGAGCCAAGGACGGTTTCATACCTGGAAGGCTCTTTGGAGTCCACCATTCACCACACCGATGGGGAAACTTGGTTCCACGGAAGCTGGGTGGCGGGACCCCTCAGCCCTTTGTTGCCTCTTCTCATCCCCCCACCCCTCTTTCTCTCTCCCAGAGCCGTGCCAGGCCTGAAGCTCAAGATTGCTGGGAAATCACTACCCACGGAGAAGTTTGCCATTCGGAAGTCAAGGCGCTACCTATCCCCCAACCCGGTCTCCCTGCCAATCCCTGCTCTGGTGGGTAGGCCTGCGGGACTGGCCTCGAGGTCGGGCTGCGGGCATCAGCTGACAGCCACTGCCCGAGGGAAGTGGATGAGGGACAAAGATGTGCCTTGGGCCTGGAGGGGGCTTCACAGTTCAGCTGGGGCTGGAGGAGGCGCAGGGCAGAGGTGACCAGGGCTCTGTCCCAGGGGCGGTCGATGGAGGGCGGGTGCCGGGACACAGGCCAGGGCTGCAGGTTCCTCAGGGCAGAAAGAGCGGCTCTCCCGGGCAGGCCGCTCCCAAGCCGGGCAGAGGGATCATCAGCCGTGTTTCCTGATTGTTCCAGTTTTGTCACACGATGATAGTAGTCATTCACACCTACCCCCCTCGACAGACTGACTTTTTCTGAGGGCCACAATCCCAGCCCATGCCATGCTCAACTTTGAGCAAGTAACACATGGCAGGGTTATTAAGCCCTAATAGGCAAATAGAAAGATGAACTGACTCTCCAGCGGATGCTAGCTGGAGCGTCAGAATTTGAACTCAGCAGCTGGCGCCAGAGCCTGTGTTCTGAGCAGCTGTGACAATACGGTTTCCAGGCCTGATTTGAGCAGGCATCAGAGGAGCTTCCAGCTGTTCAGGCCTGTTGCTACGCAGTAAGGCAGCCAGCAAAGTAGCCATGTTCAGAGAGGCCTTTTTCCGGTCCTGTGTGTAACCTTTAATAAGTTCCCTCTTTCCCCAGTGTAAGGTGAGTATAAGCATATGAACCATGCCCATTTAATGAAGCCGTTCTGAGAATTTACTGATGAGGTGTGTTAAACTCTACAAATTTTAAACTTGATTTTGTATAGAGTTTTATTTAAATCTTGTATCCTGAATATTTCTGGGCAAGTTTTAAAATATTCTACAGTTTAAATTATACAGCAGCTGGGTGTGGTAGACACATGCCTGTAATCCTAGCACTTAGGAGGCTGAAGCAGGAGGATCACTGTGTTTGAGGCCAGCCTGGACTACATAGTGAGACCCTGTCTTGAAAAACCAAATGAATGAATAAATAAAACAAACAGACTGTTGCTATCAAATGGGGAGGGAGTTATTGTAGGGAGGGCAGGAAATGTAACTATACCAAAAATTTAGGGGAGAGTTTTCCAAACTGTAATCTAAAAAAAACTACTACTTAGCTAGGAAATGGTTTTCTGTGATTAGCTGCATTGGGAAAGATAGGCCTAAAACAGGCGGGGCACCTTTATATGCTAATCCGCATGCGAGTCTTCAGGAAGAATTTAAGGATTTGATTTTCCCCCATTTGGGCACAGAACCCCAAACCCTTTGTAATGAGGCATTTACTAACTTGAGACTACGGACAGTTTGAGAAATACTGGTCTGCACTTACATTCCCTCCCTAGAACATAACAACAGTGTCTCTGTAGAACTTCGTACAGGTCACATTTACATCCATTACCTGGCTTGATCATTTAGGAAATGCTAATCTGAGGTAAAAGAATTACTGTGAATGAGAATTAATGTGATACCTTCAGCTTCCTGGCTGTGAAGGCAAAAAAAAAGAGTGTGTGTGTGAGTGACTAGGTGTGTTTTACAGTTTTCACGGTGCTAACTCATTTCTATAGGAAATGGAATGTGAGCTGCCACCACCGCACCCATCCCTGTGTGCGGGGGGATGCTGGCGAGGCCGGAGCAGTCGCTGTCCTGAAGTGTTTAAGTAAATTAGTGTTACATTGGAGCAAGGAGGAAGACTTCCTGGAGAGGGTGGGCAGGCTTGGTCCTCAGAGGATGGGGAGAGGTTGGGCGAGGACACAGTAGCACCCAGGGCGCCCTGAGCAGAAGAGGAGGTGAGAAACGTGGGCAGCTCTGAGCAGGGATCAGGACGCTGGCCCGCCTTAAATGCTCACAGAAGTAGGGTAAGGTCTCAGTCATGGATGAGGCTCCCTCCAGAATCCCTTAAAGCCGACACAGGCCAAGCTGAGACTGGTCTTGGAAGATTACAGCCAGGAAGGCCTTTGGAGACCCTCTGATCTGAACTGTCCATCTTATACAGGGAAACTGAGGCCCTGGTGGGGTAAAACCCTAGGACTGACTTGCCCCGCCCCCTGCCCTCAGGAAATGATGTACATCTGGAACGGCTACGCTGTGATCGGGAAGCAGCCGGAACTCACGGACGGGATGCTCGAGATCATCACCAACGCTGAAGCGGTGCTGGCAAAGCGCCCAGGTGACTGCACGCGGCCCTTGCACCCGCCAGACTAGGTCAGGTCTCCACAGCCCGAGCCTCCTCCTGCCAAAAGGCCCTCCTCCCCCTCTGCTAACTGTCCTTTCTCTTCCTGTGCGGAGCTTTGGCGTCAACTGCAAGCAGCGGTCCTCTGTCCGCTGGTCAAGGCCTCCGGGCTCCCACAGCCCCTGGGCTTCCCTCAGGTAGTCCCAGATGCACTCTACCGTCACCTTACTGCCGTGACCCGGGCATCTGTCTCTCCTCCTCAGACGGGAGTTTCCCGGGGACAGGGCCTGTGTCAGACGGGCCTGTGTTCTGGGCCCTGCCGAGCAGGGTCCCTGGTACCCACTGCAGAGTAAGCAAGCCTGACTTCTTGCTTGCCCCTTCTCAGAGAATGAGTACTCCGCAGATGACGAGTGCTTGGTGAAGCTGCTGAAAGGCCTGTGTCTGAAATACCTGGGCCGGGTCCAGGAGGCCGAGGAGAATTTCAGGAGCATCGCTGCCAAGTAAGTGGCCCTGGCTCCTCCCACTGGGCCTGGTTCTCCTGGGAAGCATTTTCAGGGCTCTTTCATCCTCACGCCCACCACAGCGGCTGCCTCAGCCGGCTCCCCTCACTGCGCATGTACTAGCGTCACCCTGTACAGCCAGATGGTTCGCCCCAGTGCGCCCAGAGCTGCCCAACTGCCTGCCTCAGGAAGCCACCCACGGCGGTTCCTGCGGTGGCAGCAACTCCGTCCTTGCCACCCAGCCTAGCACGCTTGGGGCTGTGCTGGACGGATCTAGAGGGGGCGGAAGGTACCTGCAGGAGGGACCTAAACCTACTAGGAGGCTCTGCAGGGTCAACATATTCTTGTTTTTTGAGACGGAGTCTCACTATGTAGCCCAGGCTGGCCTCTAACTTTCGGTGATCCTCCTGCTTCAGCCTCCCCAGTGCTAGTATTACAGAGGTGCCCCACCATGCCCGGCTCTGCATGGCCACCACTTAAACTGGGAAGTTTACCCAGCAGAGAAAGCAAGGGAGAGTTTTAAGTGGAGTAGGTACAGCTTATGCAATGCCTGCACACAGGAAAGACTTTGGAGGTTGGGGTGACATGAAGAGGTCCTTCCTTGTTTGGATGAAGCTGCAAAGCAGAAAGGGTTGAGGATGGAATGAGGAGGGCTGGACTGAGAAGGGCCCGGATGTTGTATTTAGACGGCTGACCTTTTCATCCTGCGCGTGGAGACCGGAGGACCCTGGGCAGGGCACCTTGGATTTTAAGTTTGTTTCTGGAGCAGCTTGGGAGGAAGGCCCAAATCAGAGCCTCAGACCTGACCGTGTAATAAGCCGTGCAACCTTGGGGATACAGATTGGGGACTGAGGTGGGAGAGTAAGCTAAGGACATGACTGGAGCCATTAATTCAAGGAGCTGGGGCCTGGAGTACAGACTGGGGAGGCTCCGCTGTGGTCCCAGGCTTTCCAAGGCTGGTCCAGGCTTTCCAAGGCTGGGCAGTAGGAGCCTTCCCAAGTTGGTATCCAGCACGGGAAACTCTCGTGTGGACTCCTGGGAAGGCTCCGGGAGGAGTAAAGCCTATGCGCCATCTCCTGTTTTACAGTGAAAAGAAGATTAAATATGACCACTACTTGATCCCAAATGCGCTACTGGAGCTGGCCCTTCTATTTATGGAACAAGGCAGAAACGGAGAGGCCATCAAACTCCTGGAATCTGCCAAGTAAGCCTCAGGGCACCTCGTCTCCTGGCTGGGGTGGAAGAGCCCAGCAGCAGCGTGGCGTTCGGATGCCAGCCCGTTTCCCCAGCACACAGCCCACCCGCCCTAGGCACGCTGCCCCCTCCACTGACACATGACCATTTGGAACCCCAGAGGCAGACAGCGAGTTGCCGAGGGTCACCCCACACACCCGCCAGGGGCTGGTGGAGGGCCCGTCTCCTGCTTCCCACACCAGGGCTCGCTCTCCTGAAGCCACTCCTTTAGGTTTGGGGACCTGGCAGCACCAAGAGTGTAAGAGGCGAGGGCCCACACACCCTTCCGGTCAATCCTACTGGGTGGGGCTCAGCTCTTTCTTCGGACAGGATGGGGATTTAAGCCTCTAAAACCTTTCGTGGGCTGGAGGTGCCAGTGGGGTGCTCACGTACTTCAAATGGAAGAAAAGGCCTTCAGGAGTAAAGAGCGCGATGTGTCTGACTCTCTGCTCACTTCTAGGCAAAACTACAAGAATTACTCCATGGAGTCAAGGACGCATTTTCGAATCCAGGCAGCCACGCTCCAAGCCAAGTCTTCCTTAGAGAACGGCAGCAGATCCATAGTCTCCTCAGTGTCCTTGTAGCTTTGCGCAGCACTCCTGGGCTGGCCGATGAGTAGACACTGGCAGAGCTCCTGGAAACATTTCAAAAGATCCCCCGCTCCCTGCCCTCCCTGTGGGGCCCGCCGGTGCTCCAGTGGGATGGCTCCAGGACACCCGAGCAGAGGCAAAGCAGGCGTTTCACCAGGGTGGCCGCAGGCCTTTGCCAAGGGCAGAGCAGGTAGAGCCCTCTGTCTGCCCTGTCACACATACGGGTACTTATGGGTACTTGTTTTTCACTGTGATGCGTAAGAGAATGTATGAACAGTTTACATTTTCTCTAGAAATACACTGATTGGCTTAAAAAAAAAAAAAAACACCCAACAACCAATGACCTGTAAATCTTTGCTTTCACCCATACTCATCTGGAGGTGAATCTTTTTACATGATGCCAAGGGCCAAATTGCGTTTCAAACCTTAGCAAGGTCTCCACTTCTGAGGCGAGGAGGACCTGGGGAAGTTTTAAAGCTCCGCGGGTAGATAAAGAGGTCGCAGACACCCACCATCTTATTTCTCAGAGCTCACCTCACTCCCTTCGTAACTTTCCAATTTAAAAAACCAAGCAGATGTTTTCAGTCACATGAAACTTGAACCCATCAGTAGAAAAATCATCTCTACGAATAGAGACGGGATGCCCAGGCCCGACAGCGAAGCTGCGCGGCCCTTCGTGTGCCAAAGCCGGCAACGCTGAGGGCAGCAGGGTCTCAGGAACCCGCAAGTCTGCTTCTTGCTCTACGCCAGACCGAAACCGCTGGGAATCATCTGCGAGACATAAACACATTCTCACTACACTCCACGGCACATTTATTTACTGTTTTTCTTAGAAACAGAAGTTATTCTTGGCCTGTTTTAGATTTCTCAGTTAAGAGGAAAGAGATAGTAATAAAATTTATACCCTTAAGAGATCATGCAACATGCTTCAGTAACACATGTGTAGCTTTAATTCTTGCGTAGGGCAGAAAGTCTTGATTAGAGGTCACATGGTCTATTTTACGGAGATAACATGACATTTAAAATTTTTTTCAGTAAGTTGTCAACATTTAAAAGTGAAATTTCACAAATGAATCTAGTTTCTGTTCTCTAAGGAAAACAAAAGATTTGGCAACACTGAGCCCTAATTCCCACTAGACAGGATCTATTAGAGCTAAACAGAGGCTACTTTCAAGGCTTTTGCTACTTTTCTGACCCTGAATAGCACCTAAATTTGTAACCCCTGGGACAAAGTGAGAACTCAAATTCAGTGATCAACACCAAGTTTTATCATTCACATTCTATGTCTGCATACTTCAACATGACTATTTCCTTGAAGGGAAAAAAGCATGTGCGCAGCAAAAATACTCATCTGTGAAAAACGTGACTCCCCAACTGCCTGATGTGATTTCAAGAACCACACCAAGCCGGGTGTGGTGGCGCACACCTGTAATCCCAGCACTTGGGAGGCTGAGACAGGAGGATCATCGCGAGTTCAATACCTTCAACACCAGTCTGAGCTACAAAGTGGGCTCAAGGCCAGCCTGAGCTGCTTAGCGAGACCCTGTCTCAAAAAGACAAAAAAAAAAAAAAAAAAAAAGAACCACACCAACCTTTCCAATTCCCCAGCGTTGCTGTACTTAGCAAGCACTTTGTTCTGGTGGTACCAGGGATTGAACCCAGGGCAATCTACTACTGAGCTACACTCTCAGCCCTAGGTTTTGAGACAGGGCCTCGCTAAGTTGCCCAGGCTGGCTGTGAGCAGGCCATTGTCCTAACAGCCTTCTGAGTTGCTGGAACTGCAGCCGTGTGCCACACACCTGGCACAGCCAACACTTTGGAGACCTGAGGAAGGCTCAGAGTGTCTGTGGTTATCACAAAATCAATTAGCCTCCTGTGAATGATAATAAAGTCGTGGGTTACCGGTAAAGCAAGTTCACAGGAAAAATCAAAAGCCTTCATGATCACCCTCTGCAGTGAATGCTTTGAGAGAACAGAAATGCAATGAAAAAATGTCTTATTTTGCCAGAACAAGACAACGGAATGTCCTTCATAGAGAACCAGACTTTTGCAAGCTCCTTTTTCCCCAAAGCCTGGCTGCCGCGAGGCCAGCCCGTTTCCAGGCTTCGGGGCAGGACAAGGTGCTGAACTGGGGTGGGCTCCACGGGAGGCTGCTAACTGCTGAGCCAAAGCCGCACCGCGTGGGGTATGAGTTACAAAATGCAGTTTACAACAAAACAAAACACGATCCTTTATCTCAGCGCTCACTTCAGGTGCCTTTGTTTTCATTTAAAATGTTCTCAGGACGGCTTCCTTGCCAACATTTGTGACTGCTGCCCTGCAGCTCTGTTAATCAGCCTATGTCGCTTCTACCTCTGCTGCCCTGCGGTTGCTGAGATAAGTCTGCTGAAAATACGTCTGAGGGTGAAGCCGTTAGTTTCAACCACCACGTCTTTATGCAGGGGACTTTGAAGGTAAAAAGGCTTGCCATGGGCCCCCAGTGTATTTCTGAGTTATTTCTGGCCATTACTTCTCAACAGTGCAGAGCTTCCCAGCACATCTGCCCTAGAGAAGTAGTTGATCAGATGTTTTTGGCTTAGAAATAGGAAGGTTTGAATCCTAGACCTGCCTTTGTTAATTTTCAAAGGAACCTTGGAAAAACACAGTCCCTCTAGAAAACAGCAATTTAGACGAGTTGAAGGCTCTTTCCTGCTCTCTACAGTTTTAACACTGGTCAGGTCTTTTTCTGGGTTTTCATCTGCAAAATGAGGCAGCAGACACACCTATGCGCTTGCCTTCCCAAGCATTTCAACCGCAAGGGACAGGCTCCTTAAATGGGAGTGGGGCAGATGCGCAGAGCAAGGCATCCCGTCTTAACGGCCGTGCCACACACATGCACCCAGTTGTCAGGGAAGCAGCAACGGTGTAACATGATCTGAACAGGCCCTTGGCAAGTCTCCCTCAGTGGGCACACTGCACACTGGGCACAGGCTCTCTGCCTGGCAGGGTGCTGGTTCCTATCAGCTCTCCCACACGTTGGCAGGCTTCCCCATTTCCTTATCTCTTGAGTCAATGGGAGGGCTTCCAAGACAGTTACCGGCATTCACAGCAAAAAGCCACAAGCAGATATAAAAGCGAGGCCTGTAAAAGGCCCGTATCAGCCCAGGACATGGCTGAGGCCCAGCGGGAAGACTCCCAGCAGTGAAGAAGGGCACTGTGAGGTTTGCAGAAAGCCCAAGCCTGTTGAGTGCCAGATCACTGAACCCAGAAACCAAATCCACTTTTCTCTGGAATTACTCTCTAGTTCACCGACTCAAAGAGGGGGGATCAACAATAACCTTGCTTTATTTTTACTGACTGATTGTGGTACCAGGGACTAAACTCAGGGGCTTTCTACCACTGGGCTATATCCACAGCCTCTTTTATTTTTTGAGACAGATGGGACCCGAGTATGCAATCTTCCTGCCTTGGCCTCCCTGTGTGTTGAGATTACAAGCATGCTCCACTATGCATTTCCTTGTGCTTTCTCTATCAAGTTTAACAGACGCCTTTTCAACAGTTTCTGCCTGTTGCAGAAAACGGGAATGCCAAAGCACCAAATAGGAACGCACATTCTACCCTCAGATACAGCTTTCCAAGGTAGGAAGGTGCCTTTCTGCTTGGGTTAGCACAACTCCTTTGAACTCTGGTGCAAAGTTAATTGTTAACCAATAGGGTAAGTCCACACACAAGAAACCTCATTTGAAAGGAAAGTCTACTCGTAAATGAGCAATCTTATGAACTGCTGACACTGTATAAACTTCATTAAGTGAGAAAATGTAACATAGCCCTTCGGGAAAGGTCTCTATGACTGCTAGAAGTTGACATTTAAGTTTAATCACAGCCAACACCTCGTAAGTGACGGGATTGCGTTGTTTTCTTTTACATTAACAAACACTTCACAACATCAGACATCTTATGCTCTGGAGAAAATGATAGTTATTTTTAAGTTACTTTGTCAAACTGCAGTCAAGCTGTAAAATTACCAGCTGGATGTTATACTGCCTCTTGGCCCAGTGATAAGCACGGAAGAAGTACGGGCCAAGAGCCACCGAGACCCTTGCCAGGGCACACATGGGCTATGTTGTTTGACACGGTTCCCTGACCACCTGGCATCAAGAAGTAGGGAGAGGGTCTGGAGTAGTGGTCTGAGTTCTACCCATCCACAGCTGGAGAGTTCAGGCAGCTGCTTGAGAGATGGGTTTTCATAAAGCACAGGGGTGGAGCTTCAGGCCTGGACTGAGGCTTGAGGGGGAAGAAACTGTGCAACTTTGTTATGAGACAGCAATTTGTAGGAACACGGGGAAACTGGGCGGTACACAATGCTAAAGACACTCAAACTTCTAGTTTAAACACTTAAGCCATGGTCCAAGTGATCCATGAAGAAAATCTTTTGAAGTGCTGAGGATAAAAACAAGCACAGATCACACAGCTCATCCCCTAATATACTGAAAGGTAGAGTTACTGGTCCATACAGACTGTGGGAAGGCAGAGGTGGAACTGGTCTGGGGGGTAACCAGATCAGGGGGGGTAACCAGATCAGGGGCGCTAATGCGGCCATTACATCTTCAGTTCTTGTCTTTGCTTCTGGTTAGGTCTGTTTCCTTGAACTGGCCACCTCACCCAGGCACTGGTATGTGGCATTCAGGCCTCATGTGCTTACAGCTTACGGCCAGTGGAGGAAGGGAGTCTTTTCCTAACTCCCTATGAAAAATGCCAGTGTAGTGGTGCACAACTGTTAAGCCCAGCACTCTGGGAAGCTGAGGCAGGACGATGGCAAGTTCAAGCCCAACTGTGCAAGACCCTGTCTCAAAAAATAAAAGGTCTGACGATATAGCTCAAGTCTTGGGCTCAATCCCCACTACTGCAAAAGAAAAATGCCAGATAAAGAAAAATGCCAGATAAGGACAAGCGGGTCTGGTCTCACTCAACTGTCTGTCTCTTAGGCAACTAGTTATCATGGTGCTGTCTCCACACCAGTGGAGTGTCATCGGCAACTTATTTCAAATAAATTCTCAGACCAAGAAAGTAGAGTTGAGGCCTAGCAACATGAAGTTCAGCAAGCCCTCCAGATAAATCTGACGTGTGCTAAAATAGAACCACTCTATAGAATGAGAGGCAACTACAAAGGCCTGGTCTTGGGTCATATGCTGGAAACATGGGTAGTAGGCAGATTAAAACACTAAAACCCACTTTGACATCCCTTGTTTCAAAAACTGACATATAGGAACTATGTCTTGCCACATTCCTGATACAGGGGAAGATAGCCAGTGGATATCTGTATTAAGGTACAGGGTTTCTCAGAATGCTGCCTGCCCTTTTCCTTGTCAACACCAGACTCTTAATGAGCTATTATCCAGTGGGAATGCCCTTGGGATGATGATAGCTCCCTCTCCATCAGAAATGCTCAGATTCCTTAAGAAGTCTCTTTCCCTATTTTGTCTTTCCTTCCATTTAATAAATATTCTGTATCTTTTAAGTATCTATTGTCCTGCTCTTGAGTAACTTATTCTGATAGGAAAGGCATGCAAGTACATTAACAACTAGAGCCATAAGGTAAATAAAAAGGATGTGCTTTGTTTTTTTTAATTTTTAAAATTTTTATTTTTTATTTATTTTTTAATTTTTAAAATTTTTCTATTTTTTTTTCCTGGTACCGGGAATCGAACTCACAACCTCGCGCTGGCCAGGCAGGCGCTGTGCCGCCGAGCTAAATCCCCAGCCCCCTGCGCTTTGTCTAGGAGAAGCAGCCAGTTGCAGGGCAGAAGCTGTAGCTGAAAAAGACCTGAGACAGGTGCGAGCTTGCCACTTTAAAAGGCACAAAGGGTGGTCCATGAAAGCTGGCTCCTACAGTCCTATGAGACAGAGGCAGAGAGCCTACTCATCCCAGTTAGGAGTTCAGGTTTTATTTTTACCGCAGTGGGAAGCTATTCAAGTCTTAAGCCAAGGAATGACATCATCTAATCTATTCACTTAAAATTATTTTAGCTGCTGTGTGAAGAACTGACTATACAGTGTTAAACATGGACATAAGCTTCCAGCACCAGTTCTTCTGGGTTTTTTGTTAACAAAAATACTACCTCTTCCCTTTGCCAATTAAAGTTAGGAAAAAGAGAATGATTTCAGTATGTTAAGTTATAATCACTAAGACTCTGAGTTGGCATTTCATGTTCTTTGGTCTTCATGGGAAATCAGAAACCCAGCTTATCAAAAGCCATAAACACAAATTGCATTTTACTTCAAAGGAAACTTCAAAGCCTTTAACTCAAAATTTAAGCAAGTCCTAAGAGCAGGACTGGCAATAACAGCCAGTCCTGAAAATGGATTGTTAGAGAGGCACCTTCTCAAAACCAGAAAGAACGCCTGGGAGTTCTCCCGGCCCAAGTCCCTACAGATAGAAATTAACAGGTAGCCAAGACCCAGGAGGACCAAAGCATTCATGAAAACAACTGCACTATAAAATTGAAGTTTGTGATCTGTTCGCTGAGTGTGACTCTCTCATGGACACAGGCTCATTATTCCGCCCTGTTTCAAAGCCGAGGGCTGGGTTTAATTCCGGAAATGGCAGAATGCACCGTTTCTGTGCCTCTTCTGTGGATAGTGCTAGAAGCCAACCCCGGTAGTCTGGTAACACAGTCCCAGCTTTCCAATTCAACAATGCTGAGAACTTGCTTTTGGTCCTAAATGACGGGATTAGTTACTACAGCTGGCCCCACATACTGCGTTTTGCATAGCCAACCAAAACTCTTCAGGCATTCAGAGCGCACTGCTATTGCCAGACTTTCAGAGTAATCTCTTATTGTATTCAACATTTTACTCATCTTGTGCTGAGAAATTTGGAGCCTACAAACGTGGTTACAGAAGGGATTCAAAGCACACAAGCGCTCCTTTTATCTGATCATAATTAGTTTTAGATGCCTACAACGTTTCTCATTCATGATACTTCATTCATACCAAAAGAAAAACCTGTGGAAAGCATATGATAATGAAACGTCTCAGTGAACAGTCACTTTTCTTCAGACTAAATATAATAAAAAATTCTCTCAAAGCTCTCATCAAAACCCTGTGTGCCCAGGCGTGGTGGCACATGCCTATAATCCCAGCACTCCAGCACTCGGGAGGCGGAGGGAGGAGCATTGCGAGTTTGAGGCCAGCCTGAACTGCACAGTGAGACCCTGTCTCAAAAAAACCCATGTGAAGAAATAATCAATTTATTAAATGGTTTTAGGGAACAGCATGAACCAAATGCACTCAGCTAGTGCCCTGAGCAAGCGCCTATTTTCAGTAAGAATAAAATGGATGATTAAACTGTTCAGGTTATTCTGAAACCCCCTTTGTAAAATTTCAGATCAAAAAAACAAGGGAAGGCTGGGTATGGTGGCACACACCTGTAACCCCAGCACTTGGGAGGCTGAGACAGGTCAGCCTGGGTTACATAGTGAGTTCAAGGCCAGCCTGAGGTACACATGAGACCCTGCCTCAAAAAAAAAAAAAAGGTAAAGGTATTCATTTAGGTTTTTTGTATCCATGAAGAACCTAGCCAAAGGACAAATGGAAAGGCAAAAAGTCTCACATCTCTGAATAATTAAAAAGCATCCAATACTGGTGTTATTTTCAATCTTGTATTTAGGCAGTTTTTATCTTTATTTTTTATATTTTTTTGATACCGGGAATCAAACTCAGGACCTTGTGCTTGCCAGGCAGGCGCTTGTGCTGCTGAGCTATATTCCCAGCCCTAGGAAGTTTTTAAAGAAAACAAAAAAGTACCGAACCTTACTGCACGTTAGTTTGGGTTGGGGCCATCTACCAATTATTCAAAAAGCTGCTGGTTTAACAGCTTGGGGACCCTGTTAAAAATGACAGAGTTCTGTTTTACCTCTGCTACTGATGAGATGAGAGTTTCCATTACTAACCAACATTCAGAGCCCAAAGACATTATGTTCTCCTTGTCCTGTCTTTCAAAAACCACCAGTCTATAGTGGTGCAATACTATGATCACAGCACTCTGCGAGGCTGAGGCTGGAGGATGGAAGTTTAAGCCTAGCCTGGGCAATTTACCAATTTCCCCTCCTCCCTCAGAAAAAGATAGGGACATAGCTCTGCAAAGGCCTTGGGTTTAATCCCCAGTACTAAAAAAAACAGACTCACTGATCTGCCAATTTCCTCAAGGATGTGGCCTAGACAGACAAGATGACATAGGATTAGAGAAACATCAAGCCCTGACTCCTAGTTCAGTGTTCTTTGCAAGCTTCTCTTATCACAGACTTTTGATACACGGAAGAGAGAATAAATTAGTTGAGACCATTTTTGATACCTCTCAGGAAAACTTCCTCTTAACCATGGGTCAATTATAATTTTATTCAATGCAGTAATGTACTGGTTTTTATTTTTTGTCTTTTTGAGCAGGGTCTCACTATGCAGTTCGGGCTGGCCTTGAGCTCACTTTGTAGCTCAGGCTGGCCTCGAACTCACGACAATCCTCCTGACTCAGTCTCCCGAGTGCTGGGATTACAGGCGTGCACCATCATGCCCAGCTTGTACTGGTTTATTCTTGAAGAGAATCAAACCACCTCTTCTGATTGGGAGGGACATTAAGTTGATGGAAAAACAGCCCTCAAAGCCAAAATACATCAAAACTGGGCTAATATGAGAAGGACGATAGAAGGAATTGAGCTTAGCCTCCCGATGACTAATGTCACCCGCTGGAGACTGCCTGAGCAAGGACTGTAACTCTCATGCCAATGTCAATGATGGACGATCCTGCTTCGAGGCCTGTTTGGTTTTGGAGGACACTTTTAGCTGTTAACAGAGTCATGTTCTAATACTTCTTTCTCATACTTGCCAGAAATTTCAGTAACTGAGGTAGAAACTGAGTGCTAGGACACCAGAAAATGGACAGGTATTACACAAAAACAGCACTATCTCTATAGGATAAATCCTTAAACAGAAAATTAGCACCTAGAGCTTTGGGAAAGTCTAGCTGAGTTTAAGGTTGAAGCATAAGTGCCAGTGATACAGCTCAGCAGTGCAGCACCTGCCTGGCAAGCGCAAGGTCCCAAGTGTTCTATTCCTGGAAACCAAAAAAAAAAAAAAAAAGAAAGAAAGAAAAAAATTGAAGGAGGAGTGTGATATAAAGAGGACTCAAATTTTTCTCTCTCCCCAACTGGTAAAAGAGTAGACGTTAAATTTCAGTAAATGCAGTACTACCTTAAGAGCCACCATAGTAACAAAAATTTCAATTCTTTTCATGCTCATTAATTCTAAAATTAAAGGCCTTAAAAAAAAAAAAAAAAAAAAAAAAAAAAAAGACAGGGTCTCTGTTGGGTGTGATAGCACAGGCCTGTAATCCCAGCACGCGGCAGGCTGAGGCAGGATTGCTTCAAGTTCAAGACCAGCCTGGGCTACATACTGAGGACTTGTTTCAAAAAAAAGAATCTCATTATGTAGTCAAGGATGACCCTAAACTCACTATGTAACCCAGGCTGGTGATCCTCTTGCTTCAGTCTCCCAAGTACTGGTATTACAGGCATGTACCACCATACCCAGCTTCAAGGTTAATGGTTTAAAAAGAAATTGGTTGAGGTTATTACAATGGTTAAAATGCATCTGTACTAAAGTATAATCAGTAGACTCCATAAGTGATTGCTGTCTATTGCTTTTGTAATCAAAGAGGTAATCAAGATACCTACACTTAAAAATTTATATTAAAGAGACTTACCTTCTTCCCCTCCACCTCAGTCTCAGGACCAGCTGTTTCTGACTACTTTATAAAGTGTTACTCCTTTTTAAAAAGGCATGCTTCCCTTTGAAGGAGATCTGTATGCAGAGAACCCTAATTAATGCTCATCACTCTATAAAATCATACTGCTTTATATCACAAGGTAGACAACAATAGTAGAGCGTGAGTCTTCATAGAATTAAAAAAATTCATGTGAAAGGAAACTATTTCAACCTGCTAGGTTTTGCATTGATAAGAACAAGATACTTCTGGTTTTTTTCCCTGGCTAGGCTTTCGGACATTTCAAATTCCACAGGCAAGCTTAAACACACATTGCCTGTTATCTTAACAGGTTCCACCTACTTGGTTTTAGAAATTTAATGCCATCAGGCATCTAAGTATATGATCAGATGATATTAAATGACAAGCAATAAGAACACTTCCCAAAGATGTATATACTTAGACATTTATATGACTTTTTTCTAAAAGATTAAATATCTTGAGCCTGATAATCAATTCTAACTTTACCCCTTCACAGCTGTATTATAACTTTATTTAACAACATAGTAAAAGCCAAAATTGATGATTCTTAACAGAGTATGTAGAGAACAAAGTTAAAGAATACAAAGTGCTCAAAAAGCATTTTGTTCCCTACTGGTTCCTTCAAAATTAGCAAACTTCTGTGAAAGAAGTCTTATAATGAAGACAGACTAAATGCAACATGGAAGTTCATTTACCAGTTTTGACAATCTAGAAAACAGAAACTCTGACTAAAATACCTGATATAGACACCATGTATAAGTAGAAAACACAAGAATAAAAAAGGATCACTGAAAATATTGCACAAATTCAGCTGTTTCCTCCAAATTTGCTTTATGTAATTGGGTAGATATAAATTAATGAACAGAAATTTAAGCGAGATACATGTAACAATTTAACAGAACCTGATAATCTAGTTTCTTTCAATTTTCCTCAAATTCATCTTTGAGTCATTCCATCATGGGGCTCACAGGGAAATTAACCAACATATGCATAATACAATTGAATGTCAAATAAGTACTTATGACATACTAAACTCTCCTATAATGCAATTACGAAGAACCTTCCATAAACTTGTTTTGTATGTAGAAAAGTGTTAGAGTCAAATATTCAACTCAATATAAAATAATAAGAAACGTTTGTTTGTTAGGCAGAGACTGAGTCTCCTTTTGCTAATGAATGATTTTTAGCTGTAATATCACTGAGCTGAACAAATAAGTCACTTCTGAGTACACGAGGAAAAATAAACACATGCTAAGTGGATAAAACATTACTACTACATATTACTAGACCATCTCTACCTCTAACACTTCAAAAGCTTAGAGATTTAGAGTATTCTTACATTAACTGCAAGAAAAATTAAATGAGAAATTCCTTTTTTGAGATCACAACTATGAAGTCATGTAGTTATACAAATTCTGCATTTGTGTGCAAAACATGAAACACATTTACCTTTATTCCTTGCTTAGTCTTATCAGTCATCTAGGAGGACTTAATAGATACCTTTCCAAGAGACACAGACTGAGATGTGTTTATGTAACTTCAATAAACCTCAGCAGAACAGTAATGAGAGATGCAGTATCCTTTTGCTATGGGTCAAGACAACAAGGAAGGAGGTCATAGGAAAGAATAAATCAAAACTGTTACAACTGAGAAACTACTTTTTGTTACGTTTCACCACGGCGCCACCTGCATTTTCACATAAGCATGGTAGCATAATTCAAGCTCAATAAATCAGAAATCTTCATATTTAAAATTTACATTGACTTTCAATCATCACCATATTAACAACCAAAACAGTTAGATAAACACACAGGAAAGGGTACTATTAAACCACTTCACTGGAGTTGGTTTCTTGACGCATTAACTCATTTTTTATAGAAAAGGGATAGTGCATCTCAGTTTGCTTACAAGCTAGGAGATCACTTTGAATTCTGCATTTCCTAACTGCAAACAGAATATAGCACTTACAACAGGTTATAAATAAACTTGTTTTCAAGCATAGAGCCAGCCCCAACAATAATACACTATTTTAAAAGACCTAAGGCAATGAATTCCATTTCCAATGGAAAAAAAGAACTGTGCAAACAAGCTTAAAACTACTTTTTTGTGCCAGTGTTATAAAATGTAGCTTTTAATAAAACCTTGACCCAAATGCCAGTAACTTCAGAAAAGAATCTGGGTGGAGGGAAGAAGAGTTATTTCATTTAGGAAAAATAACCACTATTTTTTTCCTAATCTTCAACATACACAATTTAAACATAAACAGCTGCTGTAACACTTTACACAATTCCTATGTACTGGAGCAATAACAAGATCTAAATACAATTATCTTTTTAAACACTGGGTCAAGGCTTTACATAAAAATACCATCCTACTTTTCCCCCCTAAGTTTCTAAAATATTACATACTTTCCTCAACATCTGCAGCCATCCAGGAATTTTAAGGAAACTTTTGTGCATGATCTTAATTCCTAATCCCTGGCTCTTTGGGCTCAGTGACAAAAGATCAAAACCACCAAAAATGATGGTTCACTTGAAGTCAGACAAGAAACCCTGGCTCAATTAGTCTCATAGGATGAAAGCAGTGCTGCATCAACTGGCTCCATGCAGGAGGGGCACGTGAAGGATCTCATCAACCAGTCATCTATACAGTCCAGGTGATAGATGTGCATGCACGGCAGAAATCGAATCGGGTCCCCGTAAACAAAGTCCATCATACAGATCACACACCTGTGGACAGAAGCAAGGCAGAGAAATCAGGAAGCATTTTTACATAAGTAGCCTATCTGCACTACTCAAAGATGGTGTTACTCCAAACAACATCCTAGAACAATTTGTACGTCACTTTATTACTACAGCACGCAAAAGCAATTTTTTTCTAATAAGTGTTTATCCATCTATAGTCTCTTGTTTCAATTGCCTCAGAATTTGCTGGGCTTAAGGGCAATCAACACAGCAAACAGCAGTGCACTACATTAAGATCAAGTTTATTGCTCAGTTTGTAAAACAGCTACATATTATAGGAGAGACCTGCAGGAGAATGTTATCCTTTAAGTAGAAAGGCATCAATCAGATCAACTTTGTCTTTTTGTACTGAATTTTTAGTGCAATCCTGGAGTAATGATTTTTATTTTAAAAACATGTAAAAACAGAACCCTAATGGCAGCCTACTTATGAGACTGCTTTAAGTTAGAACTGTTTTCACCAACTCAGTTTGAATTTTCATGTCAGAAGTCAGTGTTCTAGACAGACTACCACCTTAAGCACTAGCACAAAATGTTGGCAAAGTGCCAAACATTAACACAGTAAATCATGCCTGTGCTGGGTAAGCCATTCTCAAGTTAAATGGAGAATGGATTCCTCATTAGGGTTTCTCAAAGACAATGATGAGCCTTGGGGACAAAAATTACGCACAAGTAAAATTTTATCGTTAACTCATCAGGCTTAACGAAACATCTTACAAGAAACGGATTTCACCAGGTGTGGTGGCACACATCTGTAATCCCAGCAGTGGGGAGGCTGAGGCAGGAGGATCACTGTGAGTTCAAGACCAGCCTGGGCTACAAAGTGAGCTCAAGGCCAGCCTGAACAGCATAGCGAGACCCTGTTTCAAAAAGACAAGACCAAAAAAAGAAAAGAAAAAAAGAAACAGATTTCTCTCATGTCACTAAAAACTTAATAATTTTAAATGCTGCATAAGCTGGTGAAGTATTCCCATATCACAATTTACTCTACTGTTGGACAGTTATGTAGCATGCATCCCTCCTCCCCCTGAAACAAGACTGTGGTGAATACCTTGTGCACTGAGCTTTGGGCCAGGGGAGTGGTGGCAGTGGTACACATTTCGGACAGATCCCTATGGCTACTGTCTTAAAGGGTACTGGTCCTTGAAATACTGCCAAATGACATTCCAAAATTAACATGTTATGTTGGTCCTCGTTCACATTCATACGTGTAAATGGTTTTAGCTATCATCAGTTGTTATCCAAATGGACAAGAAGTGTAAATAATAATCAGAATTCATTTTATAAACAAATTCTTCATTGGTGCATTTAAACATTCTTGTGTTCACTGAAGTGTTCCAGGACAGTAAATGTCAGACTTCCAAAGAACAGTGACATGGTTGTTAAATGGCTCTAAGAGTGAACTTTCCACTACTTGAACTGCAAAGTTCAAAAAAATCTGCTGAATGTTTTAAAGTTTGCTTGATAGGCAAACCGAAAATCCAACTTGAAAAACTTAAACAGGCTGAGAGTAAGTTATGCGTCGAGTTTGTCAAGGACATAAAGATGTGACGATGCTTCAGCAAGTGCTGCTTCCGCCAAATACCACACAGTGCTTTGTTAATGCGTTCAGACATTCCTCTCTGTGCTTTTCTGCCACTAAGCTGTGTAAAATATGGTAACGGTGGCTGCACAGAAAGTTAGAGACATCAGCAGTAAAGCTAAGAGGAAAACTGTGAGAACGATGACAGAGTTAGAGAAAGAAGTCGTTGTGAAATCTGTTTGAAGTCCTGGAAAAATGAATTTATAAGTGTAATTTTGGGACCACAAAATCAATTTTTTGGCTTTCTATTATTTCTTATGGGAAAAATATCTTCAGTTCTCAAGACTTTTTGGTGTCTGAACCAGAATTTGGAATGAACTGAGTTCGACAATGGAGGTATCACTACATGAGAAAAGGGAAAATTTTCAAAAGCTAATGTGAAATAAGACCTCTGAAATAAACTTATTTTAAAACTTACTCCCGGATCTTTTTTTCTGATCCATCTCTTCCAGGGTCATAAACCCCTTTAGGCAGATGCTGTATAAGGCCTATTCTTTGAGCTATCCTAATCTGTTCCTCTTCAGTCAGCTGAGTCGCTAGCCGAGTCTGGCTAGGTGTTGGATGATAGACTGGAACTGGAACTTGTTCCTAAGGATCAAAAGCAGATTAAGAAATGGTTATTAGTGTTTCTGGCCAGGGCTGGGAGAGAAAGGGGCCCGAGGAGAGGTAGAGGCGAGGCTTCTGGAATCAATACACACATGCGCACACACACACTCTTAGATATATGACCTACTTGTAAAAGATATAAACACGTCTCACTGAAAAACTGTTACTAAAAGTTAACTGAAGTATATCCTCACAAAGACTACATAATTCAGATATATTCATTCTTGATACACCAAAGATAAATCAATATATAGATCTGCATATAATTAAGCAACTGCAGTAAGTTAGTATTTCATAGGCTACAAGAAAGTTGTGGTCTCAGTATAACAGTATTTACATTAGTACTGGTCAATATACACTTATTTTTCTCCCCAAATGGAAAATTTTAAAATTTATGTATGTTTTTAAAGACTAGGTATTGTTGTAATAAGCTTGTAAAATTCCCTTTGTGCTGTAAACATAGTCTGTACGACCAAAACTTGAGTGATCCTTTATTAATCATCATAAATATGGTTGTGAGGACCCTTGTCATAGATATTCACTTCAAGGTTTTATAATTAGCAGGCAAATATTCAGCCCCAGTTTCCCCATGTGTAAAGTACCAGGGGTGATAATTAAATGGGAATTTTAAATGTTGTCCTTGGCATTCTATCAAACACATACAGGTTCAGTCAGTATGTTAGCTACTATCATCACAGCTGTACTATTATATAGCTGTACTATTATATAGAACAGCATATCAAAATTGGCTGCAATGGACTATTGTGAAAAAACTTAAAGGGGGTGTCGTGGTTTGGGGGTTCTTTGCAAGGGGAAACAATAACATACAGGATACATATTTTATAAGATTATTTATAATAATCACCCAAAGAATCATATGCAAGAATGCATAAAATCTGTCCACATACTATAGACCAAGAATCCAGCTAAGGGCATGGTTCCTGTAATAATGTCCTGCATGAGTCCAGCTGAAGACCTAAGAGCCCATAACAGTGCCTCCCACATATCCAACTGAAGGCCCAGAACCCACAACAACATCTCATGCAGGCCTGTTTCATAGATCTGCACTGGGAAGGTCCAAAGGTCAGTGGTGGAATCTAGAAAGTCTGTGCTAGCAGGATGAAGGATCTGTGCTAGCAGGCTGAGGGATCTACACTGGAGCCAGGAATCGATGCTCAAAATAAGAAACCAGATCTCCCCTGAGAAGTACCACCGCCATCCTCAGCAACAGTGAGGTCCTGAGCTCCTCCAATGATGAAGACAGCTGAGGGAAGCCAAAAGGACAAGCTTCTCCAGGAGGCTGAGCAGTGCACCATCTTCCCCTCTCGAACCAGGAAGTGACACTCAGAGTGAGGACCAGAGCTCCCCCAAAGTGAACTGAAGCTAATACCAGTGCCAGCAAGGTCCTGAGCTCCTCAGAGGATGAAAACAGCCAAGTTCATGAGGAAAGCCAGCATGACAAAGCTCCTCCAGAAGAACCAACAGCTCCTTACAGCTTCTACCAGCTCCCAACAGCCTAACTTCTTCCCCAGTTCTGCCTCTTATGTTGCTGGCAACAATCCTCAGGTGGGCCTCCCACACCCAGCACCACCCTTGCTCAGTTCAGCTGGGTGTTATAAATTGACCACCAGAGCCAGGCCTGGTGGCACACGCCTAGTAATCCCAGCACTCACGAGGTTGAGGCAGGAGGATCACTGTGAGTTCAAGACCAGTCTGGGCTACAAAGTGAGCTCAAGGCCAGCCTGAACTGTACAGTGAGACCCTGTCTCAAAAAAAAAAAAAGTTGACCACAAGTTGTCAGTCTATCACAGGGGGGGTGGATATTGTCTAAGATCAACTTCCATTTTATAGCGCAAAGCTTGCCTACAGTCACCTATTCTCCCTGTAAACTGGCAATTTCCTCTATAATATACATGAGGATGCATGAAGATTCTATATGTTAGTTTAGATTTTGTCTTGAAAAAATACACTGAAATTGTATATATATTTTTTTTTCTTTTTTTTTTTTTTTTTTTGAGGCATGGTCCCACTATATAGTGCAGGTTGGCCTTGAACTTGTTTATGTGGCCAGGTTGGCCCTGAACTCAAGGCAATATCCAAGGGCTGGGATTACAGGTGTGTGCCATACACTTGGCTGAAATTTTTTTTTTTTTTTTTTTTTTGGCGATAGGGTCTCACTGTGTAGTTCAGGGTGGCCTTTAACTCACTATGTAGCCTAGGCTGGCCTCAAACTTGTGGTCATCTTTCTGTCTCAGACTCCTTTTAAAAAGCCGTCAAAACAAAGCATCCAGCACATGAGAGTACTTGGGTTCAATCTCTGTTACAAAAAAAAAATTTTTTTTTTCATCTTAGAGATCATCTTTATATTTCCAGTAACTTCTAGAATTAAGAATTTTGAAAAGGAAATGCTTCTGTAAATTACTGGTTAAATACTCTTACTGGCAGAGAAATAAAAACTTCAATCACATCTTTTGTTTTTCGTTCTACTGGAACTTCTGTGGGCTACTTCAGGTAGTTCTCATTTTAAGCTTGGAAGAATGTCAAACTTTGTTGTTACCAGAGTTCAGAAAGTTTTTTTTTTGTCTTTTTGAGACAGGATCTTGCTATGCAGTTCAGGCTGGCTTTGGGCTCATTTTGTAGCCCAGGCTAGCCTCAAACTCGCAACAGTCTTCCTACCTCAGTGCCACCCCTAAATGCTGGGATTACAGGTGTGCACCACCACGCCTGGCTCAGAAAGAAGTTTTAAAACACCAGAAGAATTCCTATTGGGATCTATCTCCTGTCTCACATAAACAAGCTTGTCTAAAAAGCTAATACAACCTTCTAATCCAGTGGGTTGGTAAAGCAACAGAGAAAGGGGTTAGCTCAGTGACACAGCACAGGTACAGCGTGTTCAAGTCCTGGGTTTGATCACCAGCAGTATGGGAGAAACATTAAAAAAAAACCTAGCTCCCTGTATCTAAATACCAACAGCATTCCTCACAGAAATAAAGAAAACCACCCTAAAATTCATATGGATCTAGAAGACAGCCAGAATAACAAAAGCAATCTTGGGCAAAGCAAAGCAGGAGGGATCACAATCCCAGACTTCAAGTTATGTTATAAAGCAACAGTGATAAAAATAGCATGGCACTAGCACAAAAACAGACACTGGGACCAAAAACATACTTTGGAGGAAAGAAAGCCTCTTTAGTGGTGTTGGGAAAACTGGCTATACACATGTAGAGGATTGAATCTTGACCCATGTCTCTCACCATGTACCAAACTAAAATCAAAAGGAATCAAAATCTCAGTGTTAAAACTGACATTTAATCTGCTGCAAGATAAAACAGGTAAAATTCTTGAAGACATAGGCATAAATAACTTTCTGAACTCTAGTTGCACAAGAAATAACATCAAAAATCAACAATGGATCATATCTACTACTCAGAGGACTAATATCTAAAATATACATAAAGAACTCTACAGTAGGATCCCTCAAAATAAAAGACCCAGAACATGGGCAGCTGAAATCAACAGACACTTCACAGATGAAGTACAAATGAACAATAAGTACATGAAGAAATGGTCAATATCACTAGCCATTACAGAAATGCAAACTAAATACTAGGTGAGACTGCATCTTACTCCAGAAAGTTAATGGCTGTCATCAAGAAACCAACCAATAACAAATGCTGACGAGGCTGTGGGGAAAAAGCAGCCTTCCACATTGCTGGTGGGAACGTGAACACATACAAGCACGATGGAAATCACTCAAAAAATTAAAACTAGAAATTCTGTTTGACCTAGCTACACATTTTCCCTCTAGGTATCTTCCTGAAAGAGTCAAAGACATCGTATTACAGTAATACATGCACACCCATGTTTATAGCAGCACAATTTGTAATACAGTAGGCTAAATCTTGGAAGCAGTCTATGTGTCTATCAACAGATGAATGGATAAAGAACATGTAGTATTTGTACACAATAGAGTACTACTCTGCTATAAAAGGTAAATGCATCATTTGTAGTAAAGTGTATCCACACTGAGACCACAATATTAAGTGAAATAAATCAGATACTCATGGTTTAAATGTCATGTTTTCTCTTATATGAGAAACTCAAAACATAAATAGAGCAAAATAAAAGGTAGATAATAGGAAAAAGAAAGATACATCTTCTGCAAAAGGGAAGGAAATCAAGAGATGAAGGGAGGGGGGAAAAAGGGGAGAGGAAAAGAGTGAAAGAATTAAGCTGTGTTATGCACACATACCAACTCCCTGTGATGAGTAACATGTACTGTAAACATACTGATAAAAATTAAAATTAAAAAAAGGTAAAAACTAAGTAACTTTGTTCCAAGAAACTATATTTAAAATTACAATTTTTCACCTTGCTTTAATATAATCACAATATATTTAAAACTCAGTTATTTTGGTGCAAAGGGGCGGGGATGGTGTATGACCTAGAAGGGATAAGGATGCCTGTCGTCATGCCACCACCTTGGTCACCTTTGCAGAATCTCAGGAATCAATGGAATAGTTTGAAACACACTAGATCTTTGAAGATGGGATTACCAGAGCATGGTGGTGCATGCCTGTAATCCCAGCACTTCAGAAGTTGAGACAGAAGGATTGCCAAATGTTCAAGGCCAGCCTCCTGAACTATATAGTAAGACCTTGTCTCAAAAAACAAAACAAAACAAAAAGCTTTGAAAGATTTGGTTCCACTACTTTCTGCGGTGAGTTGGGGGCCAAGAGTCTTTTTTTTGGTGCAGGGGATTAGACTCAAGAGTCTCACCCAGGCTAATCAAGCACTTCTCCACTGAGCTACACCTTGAGGCAAGCGTCTTAACATCTTTGAGCTAGGCAGGGTGGCACACGATACTATCTCAGCACTCCAGAGGCTGAGGCAGGAGGATCCCGGTGAGTTTAAGGGCAGCGTGAACTATACACTGGGACCTTGTCTCAAAAAACAAGTAACTTTGAATTGTCTGATGATTC